ACTTGAAGAGGAGGAGGAGGAGTATGGATTTGATACCCTGCTTTATCACTACCCGAAGGAGTCTCAAAGCGGCTAACATTCTCCTTTCCCCTCCTCCCCCACAACAAACACTCTGTGAGGTGAGTGGGGCTGAGAGACTTCAGAGAAGTGTGACTAGCCCAAGGTCACCCAGAAGCTGCATGTGGAGGAGCGGGGAAGTGAACCCGGTTCCCCAGATTATAACTCTATCGCTCTTAACCACTACACCACACTGGCTCTCAAGCTGCTGTAGAGTATTGTTTAAGTAAAGGTGAAGGTAAAGGACCCCTGGACGGTTAAGGCCAGTCAAAGGCAACAATGGGGTTGTAGCGCTCATCTCGCTTTCAGGCCAAGGGAGCCGGTGTTTGTCCACAGACAGCTTTCTGGGTCATGCGGCCAGCATGACTAAACCACTTCTGGTGCAACAGAACACTGTGACAGAAACCAGAGCAGTGCACGGAAACGCCGTTTACCTTCCCACTGCAGCAGTACCTATTTATCTACTTGCACCGAACTGCTAGGTTGGCAGGAGCTGGGACAGAGCAACAGGAGCCAACCCCGTTGTGGGGATTCGAACTGCTGACCTTCTGATTGGCAAGCCCAAGAGGCTCAGTGGTTTAGACCACAGTGCCACCTGCGTCCCTACAGAGTATTGTTTAACAGAATAACTCTGTGTGCTTACTCAGAAATAAGTCCACTATTGTCAATGGGGCTTATTCCCCAAGTATGCATCTGATTGTTCATTTGGGCATTCCTGGTTCATTTCAGAGCAAAAACGCAGGCGAGAGTAAGACATTAACAACTTTCCTTTGTATGGTGCTAGATTAATTTACATTTTAGCTCTTACCATGCAGTGGTGTTGGCTAAAAAGTCACACAGTTCATGACATAAAGCCTAGTTGAAGGAAAATCAGCTGTTAATGAGGGTGGGGTAAACAACCACTGCTCCCACATGTCCTCAGAATTGACCCTTCATGCATCAGCTTTTCCTGAAGGGAAAAAGGGGGCAGGCTTAAAATTTCTAGTCTTCAGCCTCTTTATGTAAAATCTTAGAAAAGCAATGGGACCTTATTCTTATCATTAATAATACGTCATAACTGAACTAGTCAACCTGGATAAAAAATGAGGGGAAATGTGAGATTTCTTCCCAGCCACCTTACAAGAACACAGAACTGTGAAATCTACTTTATACTGTTAAAAAGGAGACAATTCATATTTGCTGTGGAAAAAACTGAAATACAGTAATGTAAATATTTCTAAAAATATTGCAGCATCTGGTCAACATTACTTTTTTCAGTGTAATTTGAAAATAAAATGCATGATGCCAAACTAAATATATATCTTTCTTTATAAATTACTCAAGCAAGCAACAATAACACTCCACAATTCATACTTGTTTCAATCTCAGAGCATCCTGTCAATTTTCACTGTTAAAACAGTTCCTTGTCATTCCCAAAGAATGCAGTTTTCCATTTTCCTTTTCACTATTTGTAGCTACTACATATTTTTGAGTACTGAGTGTCTGACATCTCCAGCAATAAAATGTAGATTTTACAAAATCTTTGTGGTGACACCTGTGCAAAATTCTATTATTGTGTCTTCTAGATTCAAGGACGGAGTGATGCCTACACAGGCATTGTTAGGATGTCCCTGCTCTTTTCGTTAAAGCCCCTGATCTCTTGCCCTGTTCCCCATTTCTAAAAAATTTATTGTAGGTTGGCTGAGAATTGTGCAAAGAGTCCCAGATGGAATCTAGACAAATATTGAAAATGCTGTGAAAATGCTTTTTTACAAAAATGCTTTGAAAAATATATTGAATTTGCCATAGCTCACCATCTCCATCTAGTGTCACATTTGTATAATGCACTTTACAACAAACTTAAAATGTTTGATTTGCAGCTGTATAGCTGAGTCCCCAGTCCGCTGCCACTCAATGAGCTCAGAGGCAAATTGAACCCTAACAACAAAAGCCAGCTTTGTTTTCTCCCCTCAGAAAGTTGGCCTAAATTTGCATCTTGACATAATTTGGTGTACTTATTTTCATGCAAGTTTACGTCATGGGTTTGTGCCTATTAAGTAAACGGTAAAGGACCCCCGGACAGTGAAGTACAGTCAAAAGGCGACTCATCTCGCTTCAGTTGGAAAGCATACCAGTGCAAGTAGATAAATAGGTACCACCGCAGCGGGAAGGTAAACGGGGTATTAAGTTTCTAGCAATGTGCCCCGGGACCTGTATTCTTGATCCGCTTCAATAATGATCATATGGAACACGCCATCTCTTCCTCCCATTCATATATCACAGCCACACCGATATATCACCCTAAATTTGCCAGCGAACCTTTCCTTTTCGATTTACCCTCATTTTTCCATCAGGGCCTTAAAAACACATAGCAAGGAGGGCCATGCAATTTCCCTTCCTTTTACTGCCCCCACGTTGCAACGAACGCCGCAGGAGCTCATCCCTGTATCAGTTTGCTGAATTAATTTTGCTCTGGAGTTTCCATTGCTCAAGCACACACACCCCCTCCTCTGCCCCTCGGAAATAAGCTTCACAGGAACCCCAAGAGCGCAGAAGAGGTGGAAACAACGGCAGCGTCCGGGCGGCAGAGCCTCCGGGCGTCAAAATGCCATAGAGGGCAGCGGAGGAGGAGGAGGATCACTCTGGGGCCTCCGTGCTTCTCGCGCCCGCCAGGGGCACGTGGGCCTGGGGCCTTCCGTTGGAGGGGCGGAAGGAGGGGCTGCGCGCGCGCGCCTTACCTGAGCTGCCCAGGTGTGCCACTCAGGTGAACGCCCTCCTCGGCCCGACGCTCACCTGGGCTCTGCCGGGCCTCACGAAGCGGCCAATCGCAGGCCAGGGTTTTTCGCTCGCCGCCCTGGCAACGGAGCGCCGCCGCCGCCGCCGCCGAGAAGGAGGGAAGGAGGGCAGAGGAAGGCACGCTCGCTCCTTCCTTCCTTCCTTCCACGCCGAAACCGCTTTCTTCGCGTTGCTGGCACAGGTAAGGGCGGGGCTTATTCTGCTGGGTGGCTGCCGGTGGAGGTCAATAAGAGCACCGGGAAGTGTGGGGGGGGGCCTCACCCGTTGCCGTTGCTTCAGGGGCGAGCGTCGGTTGCTGGCTCGGAGAGTCGTTTGCAGAAATGGCCATGTAGGCTGAGAGGCTCCGGGTTGGAGCGGTTGCGCCTTTCGCCCCCCTCCCCACCTCCTGCTCCTCCTCTCCCGCCCTATCCCGAGGTAACAAGGATGGGGGGGGGGGTTGCTGGTCTGGTTCTACTAGTCCTCTGGGGAGATTTTATAGATACAGTATAGATCAGCTATATAGTGGAGAGAGAGAGAGAGAGTGTGTATACATATATATATATATATATATACACACACACACACACACACACACACACACATATATATATATATGTATACTGTGTGGGTGTGGGCGTGGGTGTGGGTGTAAGGAAAAGGTAAATGACCCCTGACTGTATGGGTATATATGTGTATGTGTATATGTAGGGACGCGGGTGGCGCTGTGGGTTAAACCACAGAGCCTAGGACTTGCCAGTCAGAAGGTCGGCAGTTCGAATCCCTGCGACGGGGTGAGCTCCCATTGCTCTGTCCCTGCTCCTGCCAACCTAGCAGTTCAAAAGCACGTCAAAGTGCAAGTAGATAAATAGGTACCGCTCTGGCGGGAAAGTAAACGGCGTTTCCGTGCGCTGCTTTGGTTCGCCAGAAGCGGCTTAGTCATGCTGGCCACATGACCCGGAAGCTGTACGCTGGCTCCCTCGGCCAATAAAGCGAGATGAGCGCCGCAACCCCAGAGTCGGCCACGACTGGACCTAATGGTCAGGGGTCCCTTTACCTTTACATTTTACCCTTATTCAAGCGCCGTTTCCCGCTGCTGTCCCAGATTGTTAGATATCCCATAGACTGTCCCCGGGACAGGTGAGGCTGCTGATCCCTTATTTTCAAATCTGAAAGTTGACAGCTATGGAGAGAGAGCCCCTGGGCAATGATGCCCTGTGGGCACATATAACTGTGTGAATGGGTATGTTTCAAACTCATGCCTTGTCCTAAGCCGCTCCCCCACCCCTCCCAAATGCAGTATTTGAGGAGGCTGCCCCCTGCAAAAGTGGATGGCCATTGCCATTCAACTGGTGTGTGGGTGTTGCGTCATGTGATCAGTTATGCAGGGCACTGCTTGCCTGCCCCCACCCCCAATATTTTATTCAAGTTGGCAGCCCAGTCCTTGGAAGGGGTAATCCTGGGATACCCTTGCCAAGGGTGTTTTAAGGTGTGCCGAGATTAGGCATATGAAGTGCTTTGAAAAGTGTCTACATAAAATAGTAAGGTTCCAATTTTAAACCGCAGGGAATAAGTTTGATTGAGCCCAGTGGGACTTGCTTCAGAGTAAGTATGCTTAGGGTTAGGTGGGCTCTGGTGTGTAAGGTTTATCATAGAACCCTAGGAAGTCAGGCCAATGGTCCGATTGTGTTGCATTGTCTGAACTGTTGCTATGCAGCTGGCAGGCAGAGCCTCTTGTTCTTGGACCTTTCTCTGCAAAGTTTAGGGATAAGAGATTTCAGGAGACTGCCCTCACCCCAATGTCAGTTGTTAGGAAATAGCTGTGGGAGAGGGCAGCTGAACTCATGTCCTGCTTGTAGGCTTCCCTTGGGCACCAGGCTGGCTACTGTGAAAAACAAGCTTCTGGACTAGATCAGCTTTTTGTCTAATCCTGCAGGGTTCTTGGACTGAATTCAGCTATAACATTTGGGAGCAGCCATAGTACTTTGTGTTGCTTGCAGTGGTGCCCCCATGGGGATTAGGGTGGCCAGAGGTGGAGGAAGATGTGAGCATCTTCCTGTACAATTTTAATTGTTGTGTAATGTGTGTTGTTCAGTGTATTGAATGGGTGGGATTTTGGGTGTGTGTAACTTGCTGAAATTGTGCAGGAGAGACACAAGATATTAAAGGTTCAAAAGCTTTTTCTTAAGCTCTGCCCAACCTCAGAACAGAATGGTGTGCATTGTAAAAAAGAGTGTGAATAGGCGGCTCTGATCTTCCTTATCCTTCCAGGAACTGCTGCTGCTGGTGATGTGGAAGGTCAACAGAAGATGTTGACATAAAGAAGGGAGGTGTGTGTAGTTGTAGTTGGCTTTCCCATGACTCACAGGCTACACCACATTTTAGCTAGCTGATACATTTAGCTTTACAAGGAGGTGGTGATCTTTAGAATGTCAAATGAGTACTAACTGCCTAACCCATGGATTAGCAGTAGTATCACATATGTAAAGATGTATAATTAATTTGTCATTTTCTGTAGTTATAAGGGTGGGAATCCCAGGCTCAAGATAATTTGATGTTGGTTCCCAACTACATGGATTATTATTTTTTGTCTGCCAGACTACAATGCAAGTGCCTAAAAATTATCCCTAAAACCAAAATTGAACGCACACCATTGATCCTAAGGAAGTAAATCCCATTGAATCCAATAGAACTTCCTGTATAGTAAGCATTTTAGGATTGGAGCTTTAGAGCTTTAATATTTCAGCTGAAGTGATTTTTTTTTTAAATATTCAAAATCTTACTGTTGAAATGCGGTGTTTTGGAGCTTAATTAGGAGTTTATGACTTGGAAGAGAGTGCTTCTTGAAGCTTAATTTTAAAGTTCTGTGCACAAGCCCATTTCTTCCCTGATGACTTTTGCTTGAAAGGAAAATGGCACGTGGCATTTCTGCATTTAGGTTAGCATCAAGATGCATGTTTATGACTAATGAGACCTTCACTCAGCCAGTGGTATACCATCAATGTCAATTCACTTCATCTGACTGAAGTTAGTTGCCTTAGTGTACCATCAGTATCTGTGATTAGAATATATACAGTGCGGAATAATACATTTTGTATTATTTGTCAAGTATATGGGTCTTAGTACGTTTCGGAGCACAATTCAAAGTGTTGGTGCTGACATTTAAAGCCCTAAACAGCCTCGACCCTGTATACCTGAAGGAGCATCTCCACCTCCATCGTTCAGCCCAGACACTGAGATCTACCGAGGGCCTTCTGGAGGTTCCCACACTATGAGAAGTGAAACTACAGGGAACCAGGCAGAGAGCCTTCTTGGTAGTGGTGCCTTCCCAGTGGAATACCCTCCCATCAGATGTTAAGGAGATGAGTAATTATATAACATTTAGGAAACATCTGAAGGCAGCCTAGGGAAGCTTTTTAAGGTTTAATGTTTTACTATGTTTTTATATATGCTGGAAGCCGCCCAAAGTGGCTGGGGCAGTACAGCCAGGTGGGCGGGGTATAAATTATCATTATCATTATTATTATTATTTGTAGCCCTTGGTCAAAATTCAAATACAAGTTGTGGCAAGTTTAGAAATGAGAAGACAGCTTGAGTACTGTACTGAAAAGAATGCTATCCTGCTTTGCACAGGTTTTACTCTGTGCCTAATTAAGCGGACATATCTGTCCTTATGAAGCATTAAAGTGACCATTTATACAATAGCATTTATTAACACTTAAAAAACTTTTCTGCAGATATGACCATTTTATGAAGCATCTAACTACCTCTATGAATAAAGAATAGCATCATTGGAAACACTTGCATACGTGGACAAGTGGAGGGTGGGCATGATGGCTTTCGTAAGGCTGCTAAGACGATTCACAATGAAACATTTGTCCCCGTGGAAACTTTGGAAGTTTACCTTCATTATTTTTATCTTCTTGATATTTTTGTTTCTGCTACAAAGAGAAGTTGGCATTCAGGATTTTAATGAGGAGCCTGGGAGCCCATCAAAAGATGGAAAGATTAATAATGTACTGGGTCTAGTATTAAAAGCTGTGAACAATATTAAAGTTGCAAAGCCAAAAATGCAGATTAAAGCGCCTATTAGGCAAACTCAAAAGGCAGGACAGAAGCGCTGTTTACCTGGCTCCTATACAGCAGCAGAGCTGACACCTCACCTGGATCGACCCCCTCAGGACTCTAATGCTCCAGGGGCTTCTGGTAAACCATTCAAAACGGTCAATTTAAGTCCAGCTGAGAAGGAGGAAAAAGAACGAGGAGATGAAAAACATTGTTTCAACGCTTTCGCAAGCGACAGGATTTCTTTACACCGGGATCTTGGACCAGACACACGACCTCCTGAGTATGTTGAAGTATATTTGGATTACTGGTCTTTAATTACATATGCAAAATATTGAAAATGGGTTTTGATTCCCCATGTTCTGCATTGATATGTACTTTGTCACCACTATCATTAGCATAATTTCTAGCTACTTAATTTTGCATCTGTAAGTATGAAGCTGTGTAAGTATGAGTACAGTAATCTTCTAATTATGGAAGCAAATAATGCATCTAAGAAATTCAGTAGATTGTGATGTAAATTTGTTTGGGCTTGGTGCCCTTTCGCCCATTTCCTTTAAGAAAGGGGTTGGAAATTAAAACTCACCAGTGGACCAGATACTTACTCTGTGCAAATTTGATGAGGTCAGGACACACACACACACACCCGTCATCACAGTGATTTTAGATGACATGGCACTTTGAGATCTCAATAGCCAACGGTTTGTCAGGATTTCAAAGCACAGCACAGGGCTCTTTGCAAGTACCTTTAAAATGGCACTGTGTTTTGAAGCCCGGACAATTGGTTGATTGTGGCAACTTCAAAATACTGCACAAGGCTATTTGCTACAAGTTGCTGAAGTGCTGCCAATCATCTGATCACTGTCACTTCAGAAGCCCCCTTTGTCCTAGCCCAGCTGCCTTTTTGCCTTCCCACAACAGATGCAATATATGTTGTGAGGTGATTGGCAGATGGGTGTGGCTTAGTCAGAATGGCCTGCTTGGCCAAATGGGCAGGTATAGCAAGCCTAGTTAGGGTCTGAAGGTTCCCCACCCCTGTTTTAAGATGTATTGATGAAAGGATGCCCTTTTCTTTCATCACAAGTGTCTAATCCTTGATAAATTGTAAATCCTGGACATTTTATGGTGGCAATTATTCTAAATTGCCACATGCCCCTTGTGATGTATTACAAAAACATGTTACTGTATTGTTAGGATACTCTGGAAGCAATTGCTCCACACAGATCTTGTGCATGGCTTTTTTATATTGGTGTGAGAAAGAAGTTCCACCATACTTGCCAAGCTTTATCTGTGCCACATCAAAGTATCAGACTTATAATCCATTTTTCATTCCAAAAACTGTTTTTGTCATCTAGATGTATCGAGCAAAAGTTTAAACGCTGTCCTCCACTACCTACCACAAGTGTTATCATAGTTTTCCACAACGAAGCATGGTCTACTCTTTTAAGAACAGTTCACAGTGTGATGTATACTTCCCCTGCAATATTACTGAAGGAAATAATTTTGGTGGATGATGCCAGTATAGATGGTAAGAACATATAATGTTTGTGTGTGGTTTTTCACATTTGAGTTTTTCATGTTATTTTGTGTTCCTGAGAATATGCACCTTTTAAATAACAAAAAATATTTATATTTATAAAGTATAAAGATCTCTCAAACTGAAATGATTTGTGCTTTCTCTTTGTCTCAGTTCATGATCCTTAATGCTTAATTACATTAGGCATGATGTCTGAATTGACTATGGTTTGTGAACAGCCACCAAACTAGATTTTGAAAACAGGACTTGACATAGGTTTGCAAACCATGGTTTGTGCTAACTGGCTTGATGTGATATCTGATTTAATAAGAGCAATAGCTGTAATTATGCTTTTGTCTCAAGAGGCTGCTGCGCTATGGAGACAGCAGTGAATTTACAGACTTGTGAAGCTGGTGATGAGTGGGTGGAAAATAAAGCAGATGAGAAACTCTAAATCATACTTTGTTGTCTGTACATTTGGAAGCTTAAACCATGGTTTGGCAAAATATCCAACCTGAGCTTTTATCTTAATTAGTAGCTGTTGTTTTGGTGCACCAGCAGCCCCTTCTCTCACCACTCCTCCCCTTCCGTTATCTGCCAAAGAAAGAATGCCTGTAGTTCTGCTTCACAGCAAGTGAAGAAAGACTGGCTCAGACACTACTTTCTGCATGTGGTGGAAGTGAGAGAATGCCTTTTCTCCCACGTCTGCCTGATGCATTTGCCCCACTTCCTTTGCCACAGTTACTTTTGCAGGGCATAATATTTCAATGGAACGTATGCACACATGACCTAGACAAATTATTGTTGCCTGTAAGCATTGGATTGTACATGCATATAGGACCCACTGGAATGTTAGTCTCCTTTGTGAATGGCAGAAGGAGGGCTCCTGCTCTCTACAATCTGTGGCAATGAGAGAATGCATTCTCTGAACAAGCCAATTGACTTGCTATCTTGCAGCAGTCTTAAAGGGAGAGTCTCTAGGTCAGGACCAGGCAACTTTTCCCTCTCCCCACCCCCCTTCAAAATTATGAAACACACCTTTAAAAAGGCTAATTTAGTTATGAAAAGAATTCAGTAATGCCCAACCTACTTCATAAATGTGGTAAGGGTAACTAATGTTATTTGACTCCCCTGCCAAACGAGTAAAACTTGTTCTCTTTCTGTCGGTAGAATACTTTTCAGTAGAATGTCTTTTCAAAAAAAATTATCATAGAAGTGGAGAGTTGGAAGGGATCCTGCAAATCATCTAGTCCACCCCCCTGCAATGCAGAATATGCAGCTGTCCTGTATGGGGATGAAACCTGCAACCTTGGCATTAATCAGCACCACGCTCTAACCAACTGAGCTGTCAAGAAGATATGATAACTTGGCAAATTCATCTTTGTACAGAACTAAATTTTTTACTGCTTTGTACTAGAAATTGCATTTCCCCCAAATTCTGGTTCCTGGTGTATTTGGGGTCGTATCTCCCTTCCCCCATTCTTCAATAAAAGCAGATGCTCTTGTCCCTTCAAGCTGAAACTACAGTACAGGCATTTCAGAATAAATGTATTTTGACTTTCCTCTTACTGAGTGGCTAGTTATGAAAAGTGAACTTAACGTTTGCCTTTTATTAAATTGGCAAAGACTGTCTTGTTGTCTTTTTAGAATACTTGCAGGATAAATTGGATGATTATGTGAAACAATTCCAGATAGTTAAAGTTGTACGACAAAAGGAAAGAAAGGGGCTCATCACTGCTCGATTATTAGGTGCTTCAATAGCAACTGGAGAAACCCTCACTTTTTTGGATGCACACTGTAAGTAATAGTGTTGGACTGTAATAGTGTTTAGTTAGCTAACAAATATTAAAGAATTTCCTTTTCATATTGATTTTTTCCTTGTCCTGTTTTAACTGTTTTTCTAACAAATAACACTATAGAAGCATTGCTGTTGAAAATGCACAGCTTTTAAAAACATGGAACTGATTGCAGAAAAACTATTTATTTAAGCTAAGGACAGCTTTTACACAAATGCACATGAATCTTGGGAGAAAGCCAAAGCTAGTCAATTTTTAAAATATCTAATTTGTGTTTCGGACTGAGGTTTGGGGTGGGAAAAATCAAAGTTCATTTTCATTTCGTGCTAGCCATATTTTTCATTTGATGGTGTATGTGATATTTCATAGCAGGTATCTGTAAGCTAACAATATTTCCAGCACACATGTGGATTTTTTAAAATAACAGCAATCCTATGTAGGTCTACTCAAGTGGGACATGGGTGGCACCGTGGTCTAAACCACCAAGCCTCTTGGGCTTGCTGATTGCAAGGTCGGCAGTTTGAATCTGCTCGATGCTGCTCTGTCCCAGCTCCTGCCAACCTAGCAGTTTGAAAGCATTCCGGTGAAAGTAGATAAATAGGTACCGTTGCGGCAGGAAAGTAAACAGCGTTTCCATGCACTCTGGCTTTAGTCACGGTGTCCTGTTGTGCCAGAAGAGGTTTAATAATGCTGGCCACATGACCCAGAAAGCTGTCTGCAAACAAACTCCTGCTCCCTTGGCCTGAAAGTGGAGATGAGTGCCGCACCCCATAGTCAAATTTGACTGGACTTAACCATCCAGGGGTCTTTTACCTTTACCTTACTCAGAAGTAAGTAAATTCAGTGGGACTTACTTCCAAATAAATGTGCATAGGATCACAGCCTAAGTGAAATTAAAATGTTCCTGTAACTGCTTTTATGAAAGTGGATAAATCCAGCATTATAATCATTATTTTACCTCCTGTTTCCTCTCTCAGGTGAATGTTTCTATGGCTGGCTAGAGCCATTGTTGGCCAGAATAGCTGAAAACAATACTCGTGTTGTAAGCCCTGATATTTCATCTATAGATCTAAATACATTTGAATTCATGAAACCTTCCCCTTATGGTCAAAACCATAATAGAGGGAATTTTGACTGGAGTTTGTCGTTTGGATGGGAATCTCTTCCTGAACATGAAGGCAAGAGAAGGAAAGATGAAACATACCCTATTAAGTAAGCAATGAAACATTTTTTTTCCATTTACAAAATCTTTACTTGAAAATATTGTTCCAAAGAATAATTCACATGTAACTTTTTTCATTTTGGTTAAAAGAGAAAAAGAATTGCAGAAGGATCAGAGAAGCTCTGTCTTCTATATCTTGTATTCTTTTCACATGGTACTTCAGGTTTTAAACATTTTTTTCAAAGAACTCTTGAAATTTTAAGTTTTAGTAGGACCTGAACCACCTCAAATAAGCTCTATCAGTAGAAGAGTTGTATGTATAGAAAAAGCCATCAGTTGAATTTTAAATACTGAGAGTGCTATGGATGCTAATGTTGCTTTTTTGGCTGAGGTTTGCTATAACAAAAGCCCGAGTGATGGCATCCCTGGCTTTGAAGGTAGGATGATGGGAATGCAATGCAGTTGTTGGAGGCAGAAAGAGACTGTAAGAGAAAAGTTGGCATCCCTAATTAAACCTGCTTGTTGCTTTGGTGTAGAATTTCTGCACCATTACAGAATGCAATTTACATATAGCTCCTTGATTCATTGAAATTTACCTTCGAAATGGAGGTGGGGCATATAATGACTGATTAAAACTAGGGCACATTTCCTTTCTCCCCCTTTCAGTTGAGTTGAGCAATCCCTCCCCCTGCCCCAAATCGCACTGTTTCATTGTAGTAATACAACTACTGCACAAGTCATATTTCAGAAGCAATTTCTTCCCAGGACAGTTGTTGACTATTTTATTGCTCTGGCTTTGAAATGGATGCTGATGTGCATATAACTCATGGTAGTAGCTTCTCTACAAAGCCCAAATAGTAGCCAAACATTTTCACTAATGCGTTTCCTTCTGCTGTTGGCTGTTTGCTTTTGCTGGTGGTTCATAAAGTGTTGATTGCCCATTTATCAGGCTTTCCTGAAGAGGGATGGGCTTTGGGATCTTAAAAAGAAAAATAACAGGTTTTCCCCAGATTGGGAAATTGTTAGCTTCATGAAAGATTATCCCCCCCCCCTTTATCTTTTTTGCAGAACACCCACTTTTGCAGGAGGCCTCTTTTCAATATCAAAGGACTACTTTTACAAAGTTGGAAGCTATGATGAAGAAATGGAAATATGGGGAGGAGAAAATATAGAAATGTCTTTCCGAGTAAGTTTAGAGACACAATATTCACATGAAGATGCAGTGACAAACCTCAGTTGCATTTCAGTTGCTCCCTATAGAAGTAGGAGACCAGATGAGCTTGGTCTTAGGCTAATGATAACCTGGAGGGAGAAAATACTGTATTATTTAGGGGTGGACCTGTCCATTTCAGTCCTCAGTTTTCCAGCCTTAAATTTGTTTTCTCAACATTTTGGAACAATTTGTGATTTATTTATTTTTTAATATTCTCATGAAAACGGACTGTAACAGGGCGTGGCATACATATACACACTCTGCTGATGCCCACAGGGGCCAAGAATGGAACCACCACATGAAATGATGTCCACCTGTACTTATTTATTCCCTGGCGCCACACATATGCACAGTCGTGAGCAAGTTGATTGCGTGTAAGTGGGGGGACGGGACGCCTGTAAATGTGAATTTTGAATAATGCTTGTGTTTCAGTTTGCATGTTGTTTTGGAAAATGGAAAATGAGTAGATTCATATTTAAATGTGGGCTGAATTGGATCTCTCCCCATCCCTAGTAGTGTGGTGTCAGGTGCGTGGTTGCTGCATCAGTATTGCAATAATATCTTACTACCCTGTAGGTAGACAGGGTTTGATTTCAGAAAGCATTTTTATACAAATGCTTCTAGAGCAATATTACCTGCTATCTGGTATTCTGTTAAAGGCTGATAAGTGAAACTGTTATTTTTTCAGGTGTGGCAATGTGGGGGTCAGCTGGAAATCATACCTTGCTCAGTTGTGGGCCATGTTTTTCGCAGCAAGAGCCCCCATACCTTTCCAAAAGGGACTCAAGTGATCACCCGTAATCAAGTTCGTCTTGCAGAAGTCTGGATGGATGAATATAAGTATATATTTTACCGGAGAAACACAGAAGCAACAAAAATAGTTAAACAAGTAGGTGACGATGGTGGTGGTATTAGAAATCAGTTGCTGCACTGAAGTTCTTGGTGAGCAAAAATTATTTATTGTGAAAATATATAAACGTAGTAGGCACTCTTTATTCAGTTTGCTCTGCTTGGCAATATATTGAATAGATTCAGTAGTGCCCATTACCTCTTCATTTAATCCTTTATACAATACCTCCCTGGAGCTCTTTGAACTAGAGTAGTGCCGTTAATTGCATCCACCAACTTCTAGGAGGAATGAGGGGGATCTTTCTCAATAATTCTCTTTAACATTCAGTTGATTAATATATGTGAAGTCTAAAAGAATGACTAAAAAGAATCTTGATTTTACTAAAGCAGTATTAGCCAACTAAGATAAATATTAGAAGGCTAGTACCAGGCAGTATCTGTAAGATTCAGTGGTGGCAAACAGCTTGGATGACTTTAAAAAACAAATGCACAGAGTATAAGGCTGTGTTCTACCTCTCCTGTCAATGGCAGTATCCATCTGAATGCCAGAGTCACAAATGGGTTGAGTGCTATTGCACTCAGATTTTGCTTATGTGCTTCACATAGGCATCTAATTGGCTGCTGAACCCAGACAGGACTTTGACTTGGTTCAGTAGGCTTTTCTTATGTCATGTTAAATGTAAATACGGAATTAACAACATTTGATAACCTCAAAGACCCCAAGTTGGCCAGTTGTTTAGGGAGAAAATTAAAGTTAGTGATTTAAAAAATGGATGGCAAAGGATAATGTAGATTTGCATCTCAAGTGTGCTTGTGTGTATTCCTGGCTCTATAAGTTTATGTCAATTATTTACTTACTGACATAAGAGAGAGAGAGAAGGAATCATTGGGTGATTATTCAGGTTGTTGCCACCATTATTGGGTAAGTGGTGTTCCTTGCTCCAATTCTGATTCTTTGGGGATACATGGAAAAGTATAATTTGATCAGAACATATAATGATTATAGGGAATGTGTTGAGGGCTGCAAGAAGTTGAGTGGCTTCTAAATGGACCTCCAACCTCTATTTTCATTATTTAAAGATTATTTAAAGCTTGTTTACCTGAATTAATTTACAAATTCCCTCCGTGTTTACTTTCAGTAAAAAGTATTATTTGTGATTTGTTTTTGTTATAACACTGTTTAGTATTGTTTCAACAGAAAACGTTTGGTGACCTCTCAAAAAGATACGAGTTAAGGCAACAATTACAGTGTAAAAACTTTACGTGGTACCTTAGCAATGTTTATCCTGAGGCATATGTACCAGACTTGAATCCTCCATTATATGGATTTGTGAGTATGCTTTTCTTTTTACAAGAAGAAATAAAGCAAATGTGTAGAGGATTTAACTATGCTATTCTGTACTTACATTTCCATTTTTTTACATTCCTTAGTTAAAAAATGTTGGGAGAAGAACATGCCTGGATGCTGGAGAAAATAATAATGGTGGCAAGCCATTGATTATGTATACATGTCACGGGCTTGGAGGAAACCAGGTAAAATGTTGCATTCAGTTTTTATGTAACTGTGCAGATAAGCACAGCAATGTGTTTTCAGAGCATGTTTTAAATTTATCAGGTCTCATGCCTAGAATATCTACATGAAACCACTAGGTGGGGTTATCTGGAGGTTTGGAGTAAGTTGTCAGCAGTATGCTGGTGACACTTAGCTCTAGTTCTCCTTTACATCTGCAGGTGAGGCAGTGGAAGTAATGGACTGGATGAGAGCCAACAAACTGAAACTCAATCCAGATAAGAGTGAGGCCCTGTTAGTGAGTGGTTGCCTAGACCGGATGGGTAGGAGATTGCTCTTGATGGGGTTACACTTCCTCTGAAGGAGCAGGTTCGTAGCTTGGAGGTACTCCTGGATCCTTTGCTGTTGCTCGAGGCTCAGGTGGCCTCAGTGGCCCGGAATGCCTTCCATCAGCTTTGGCTGGTGGCCCAGCTACGCCCCTACCTGGACAGGGATAGCCTAACTACTGTTGTCTATGCTCTGGTAACCTCAAGGTTAGATTACTGCATTGTGTTATAAAGAGCAAGGAGCTCTCCAAGGGCAGCACCAAATTTGGAGCCTTCCCTATGGTTAGAAGTTACTGTGTAATCACTGTCTTATTTGGGAAGCCTGATGTTCTTTATGTTCCTGTTTGAGTGTGTATCTTGTAAGCATGTCTCTCATTTAAGGTATTCAGCATAAAAAGAGGGCATTGTGTTAGGGAGAGTAGACTACCATTGGCATAGATGCAGTGGAACCCAAAGTGAAGACCAACTCTCAATTTGAGTCTCCTTCCTCTGCAGAGTCCACATCTTTTATAACCTCACACTAATAACTTGGATGACTTCCATAATGCTATATACTGCCTTGGTTACACTAGTTCCCTGACTGTCTCTGCCATGCACTCTTCATCTCTCTTTCAGCGTTTTGTCTGCTTCTGATCTATTCTGCGGGAACACTCTTCATTTCTGCATTGTAAACTTAATAATCTTTACTCTTTCCCTCCCTCTTTCTTCTGCTGCTTTTTCCTTTGTCTTTAGAACTTTTGCTGTCAAGGAGGAAACCAGTGGGTGACTAAGCAACCAGGCCTGTGTCATCTGTCCTGTCATACTTACAGCCTCATGCTGGGAGGTTAGAGTGGTCTTCCCTATGCTAAAACCACCTACCATTTTGAGCCTATGTACATTCCTAGATGGCTGAACGTCTAACAAACACTTCTCGGTACACAACTTGTGGAGCAGAGATGGTTCAGAACATATTGCACCCCTGAAATGTAGCACCTCTGGAAATGTAACTAGGCGTTGCAAATCATAGTTCATTTCATTCAATAAAAAAACCCACTCCATTTTTAAGTAAATTACCCTATCGTAAAAAATACTGTAGTGGCAAATAGGAAAGCTACATATTCAACACTGAAACTATCAATTGTCCATCAAAAGATATGGACAATAATTCCATTGTTTGATTCCTTAGTGGTTACCTAGTAACTTGCTGATCTCAATGGTCTCTTCTATTAAATAGTATTTGTTTTTGAATTTCATACTATTAGTTTGATACAGGAAGAGAAGAACAATCTGGTAACTTATATTCATTTAATAGCATATATATTTATCCCACCAATCCTCCCAAAGGAGGTCCAGGGCATATTGCAAGTGTCATTATGGCCTGGTCTACATCAGCGTTGGCAAGGGTGCCATGCCAGTGGAAGACATTTCACTTATACTGTTAAGGCAGTGCTGGCACACTATGGCTGGACAGCTGCTTCTATCCCTTGCAATTGATAGATGCCTTGGATATGATCTTGCCAAAGTTAAGCACTGAAATCAGTGTGGCTTTAAAAGTGCTTAACTTTGAGTGGATACTACCTTTCAATTGCAAGAGTTCTAGGATCCTTAGACATTGCACAGACTTTTCATACTAATTCTGGGTTAGATCCAGAATGTCTCTTTCATGAATGGAAAGGCTACTCTGTTCATAGAATGGACCAGAGTCAAGCAGAAGCTGCTCCTCTAGAATAAGGGAGGGGAAGGCAGTTTTCACCAATTCTCCCTGCGGGCCCCAGTGCAACTTCCTACATTGTTCCAGAGAGCCTCCTACCTTCACAAGCAGCTCTGGGATCTGCTCTGTACAAATTGGTTTCTTTGGGAATCTGCCACATAGCTATCTCTCCTGCCTTGTCTCTGAGTGGGAGACAGAAGGGAAACTAAAATCTTTCCTTTTTCACCCTACTATTTTTAGTGACCTGCCCTTGTCATGGTTTAGGCATTGTGTATAAAGCACTCCACCTGCAAAGCATCAAGTTTTTCTGTAAGCATTAATCTGGAGTTCAAAGGGACGCCATGAATTTGTATGGTTGAGTTTTGGGTGATACTTCCCTGACTGAATTGTTTCTTTATATAGTACTTTGAATATTCTGCACATCATGAAATTAGGCACAACATCCAGAAAGAGCTGTGCCTGCATGCTTTATCAGGAGAAGCACAACTTCATGACTGTGGCTACAAAGGGAAGAACAGCAGAACCCCCCCAGAAGAGAAATGGGAGATCCGAGAGGTATTCTCAAATCAATTCAGCCAAGCAAAAAGAGAACATATAGCTTTTATAGTTTGGAGCTGCTAGATAATTAAATGTGGAGGAGGAGTTTTACATTTACATGTACTGCTCCCATACGATAGGGCAGCTACAGGAGCAAGTTCTTCTTAGAGATATTTATTGTTGCATATAAGCTCCTCTGTGCAAGTGCCTGTCCCCCAGTGTGAAACTTGGCACATACTTAGAATGATTCTTTTCTTCAGAACATGTGTGAGGTTTTCCAGCTCCTTGCTGGTAGCTGAAAAGTTGTTGAGATGTGCAGAAAAAGCTGTAGTTCTGAGCCCTATGTAAAAACTTTCTAGATCTCATTTTCCCTTCTCCCGGTACCTCTCAAGAACAGCTCTTTACAGCCATGTTTTTAGATACCATTGTATAACAGTGAACCCATTATGATAAAGGGAAGCATTAAAAAAAAAAAAATCCAATATTGCTACCTTCAATCCACTGTAAGCCTCTAGAATATAGCAGGCTCTAAATTTAAAGATGTAAATATAGCTGCAGCTTTCAGCACTGGGGAATTTGTTGCAGAATCATCAGTCTTTGTCAGCATTGATAGAATTTTGTCTCTCCAAGTATGCATGATGTCTACAAAATCTTGGCTGGGTTAATGGGCAGAACCAGAGAGACGGTGTGATATAGTACAATCACCTGTCGTACTTGGATTGGGCAGAGCCAGTTTCAAATCCCCACTCAGCCCCAAAGTTTATTGAGTGACTCCGCATAAGCCACTGTATGGCCAATCTACTTCACGGCATTGTTTTAAGGTTAGAGTGGGTAGTCCTGGCATGCCCCCCTAATCTCCTTGGAGAAAAAGTAATATAAAAATGTGTCTTCTCTCTCTCCACTTTTCTAGGACCAGTCGTTGTACAACGCAGCCTTAAAGATGTGCCTGACAGGAAATAAAGAGCATCCAAGCTTGGTGACGTGTAACCCCTCAGACGTCTTCCAAAAATGGATTTTTAGCCGAAACAATTAAGTACTGGTAATTAGGAGATGGGAACTGTATCTCCTTCAAAATTATCCAGCTTTAACTTAAATTATGCAGAGTCATCTTAACTGTAAAAAATAAAAAATAAATAAAGCATTTTTACTTCAAAATTAAAATGCACAATTTAGCTGGCAAGAAATCCAAGGAATACTTAGGTTTCTTGATTCTTAAAAAAATGTTTACAAATATTGGAAATTATATTTCCAGTATATATATTTTTGTAAAACCTCTGTCTTTAAGACACAATTCTCAGTGGTTTGGGGATAGTTTGTAAAAGTTTTACATACATGCATTCACAAACACATTCTGGTCAATAACTGAAGAAACTTGTTGATAGAGGTTACGGGAGATGATTTTTTTCCTATATTTTCTGAAAAATAGAGTGCCTTATAGGTGTTCTTTATAATTTAAACTGTGACAGCTTTCCTTAAATGACCACCCCTGGTTTACACATTGATCTAGTTGGCTCAGTGTTTATAGCAAGAAATATCTATGAAGTTTATCAATTCTTCTGAAACTATGAAGTTCTATTACCACTCCAATGAATAATACTTTCTTGGTGTTAGCCCCTTGCAAACTGGTTGGGTCTCTGTATGCTGCTGTTTTTGGTGTTCTGTTGTTCATTATGCTTATCAGTGATGAGCTTTGTATGTTTTAAGATTTCTGAAACTGATTACAAAATTGTTCTCTTTTAGTTGAAAAGGTGTTTATTGTTTCTCCTGATATATCGCATTACTTGTTTCTTAGACAATTCTGGCGTCTCTCATTTTTTTCCTATTATGTGTGGGTTCCACGTTTCCATATCTCTAATTCCTATTTTCCTCTTTCATGTGTTCATAATTTAAAACATGACCCTTTTAATTCAAAGCTATTGCAAAACATTTTAAGTAACTGGTGTCTTTCATCAGAAATTTGTAATTTTTTAACTGAACCTGCTGGGTTTAGAGTTAGGATTATTTGCTTTCTACATGCAAGGAATTTTAACAAAATATCTTACTGGTTGCACATTCTGTGATTAAACACCTTAATTAAGAGTCAGTATTCAGCACTTTTTGCTGCTTAGTGTGATGGGTCAACAATGCTGAGAAAAATAGAGGGGTTTTCAAGTACAATGCTACATCAGCTCATGGATTTTCACTCGTGCAACTAGATTCTTCCTCCACAAATCTGCTCCAGAGGTTTGGGGAGAGCCCCTGGAACAGATTTAGAGGGCATGCTGGGGAGGAGAACATTACACTGTGCTAGAATCAGATAACTGGCATTACATTTGATCCACCCTTAGCAATTAAACCAAGAAGTTGCAAATAAAAGCTCACTCTTTGTGAATAATTCCTCTAGTGTTTAAAAGAGAGGGGACGGATGCCACCATGGAGGAGCTTTTCCCCCTGAGCATTGCACATATATTTGCTATTCATTCATAGATTCCTGTGCTGTGCTTCATGTGCACACACAGACCTTACAAAGTTGGCCCCAGCTCTTCCCCGTGGAGGAGTTAGAGGGTTGCCACCAGAAATGAAAATTGCTCATCATCACCCCAGGCATATGTGGAAGCACTTTCTGTGCTCTTGGGGGCCTTTCCGGATCCAGCCAAAGCTGGTCTTCAGATCTTTTGGGTTACAACTCCTGTCAGCCCCAGCCAGCATGGCCAATGTTCAGGGGTGATGGGGGGCTGTAGTTCAAAACATTTGGAGGGCATTAGATTGGGGGAGGTTGTTACAGCACTTGCCATCTCAAGAAGCTGATAAAGCAGTTTTCTTTATTTTGGTATCTCTGGTTTTAAACAAAGAAGTGGATGTTGCAACTGCTTGAGGCCTTGCATATACACTATTGAAAGCTTATTGTTGAGATGCTGCTTGCATAAGCAGAGTTTTGCAATGTGGCAGATGGTTGAAGCAAAACTATTGTTCTTCCTTAAAAGTATGTTTTATGTTTATACAGTGGTTTTCCTCTACTTTGTTGATTTGGTGTTTATGTCACAAAGTTAACTACTACTTTTTCTTCCTCCATGCTTGCATTGCCCCAAACGTTCAACCAAAACTATAAACTGAGGCTATAATTATGACTTCATAGCACTTCGTTATATTTTTATCTTTTCCGCAGCATGCAGTTCTGCTATGTCTCTACCCCACCACTGCAATGGTCTTCCATCTGATTTAAACGTGATGCATTTAACTACAGTTGTTCTAGGCTGAGTTCTTAATTCTTCCTTGTACTCCTAAGCATTTATTTCAGGTATACATGATATGCTGTACAGAACGCCTCTTTAATTTTGTTTCATAAATGTAATAAAATAAAAATATTTTGATGCAAAAGCTACCCTTTGGAATTTTGGGTGTGTGTGCAGCTTTCTGTTTCTTTGCTTGGGTCTGAGAGTGCTCCAGTGACTTGGTATGATATTCAAAGCCACTAAGAAAAGGAAACACAAGAAACCTTGGCAACTGCTGCAGCACAGCCCTGGGACCAACCACGAACAAATGTTTGGCAGTGTTTTTGCAGGCAAAGTGTAGCCATGTTTGTGTATTTGTATTGCTCACTCTGGCAGGAGGGAGCAGGCAGCCTGATGTGGAATTAATCTAGACTATCCAGATTAATTTCTAGAGCATCCTTTGGACGTTAGAATAATGAATGCATTGCAAATTACTGAGGCCCATAGGCACTGGCCTGTAGCAGTAACATGGTTGCATGCCATCGTCTAGAACAGGCACCCCCAAACTCGGCCCTCCAGTTGTTTTGGGACTACAATTCCCATCATCCCTGACCACTTATCCTGTTAGCTAGGGATGGTGGGAGTTGTAGTCCCAAAGCAGCTGGAGGGCCGAGTTTGGGGATGCCTGGTCTAGAAGCTACAGCGTCTATCAGCACCTTATGTTCAAATGCATGCTCTGATTTTTCTCTTATTTCACCTAATTCCTCTGTTTTTAAGCTTCTTCAGCTATCATTTTCTAGTGCCCCTTTCCTTTAATAACCTGATACGTTTTGGAGCCCTACCTCCTTTCTTGGACCTCTGGTTCCACAAGGTTCTTTGGAATCTGAGCAGCTCCATTAAAGGCAGACCCAAATCCAGAAGTTAAAAAGTAGAACCATCCATCTGTTTCTGGCAAATGGGAAATAAGTTGTTGCATTCTCCAAAGCTGTTTTCTTGCATTCAAGTGCTTGTGAAAAAGATATTTGTGTTTTTTTGTGATTGTGTCAGTATGTCTCCTCCAAAGGAAGCCACAGAGCTCCATCGATCATCATTCACAGCAAAATAAATAGCAGCTTGGCAGCAGATGTTGATTTCTTTCTCTTGCATCAATCCCGGTAAGGTACACCAGACGTGTAATCTCGTTCAGATAATATATTTTGTAAAATGCAGCATTCTATTATTACAGTTCTATCAATCCTGTGTTATCTTTTATTTTAGTTATTTCTGTTTTCAAATTCTTTGCGACTGTAGCTATAAAATAGCCAAAGGGAATCAGTGAAAGGTATAGCTCCTGAAAGGAACATGTTAATGTTGGAGATCCATTCCCCGTGTCTGCAGAGTGTATTTAACAGGATAATATTAAATATCAGATTTATCTAGACTACTGATTATGTACTTTGCAGTTTTATAGTCTAATTTTATCCTGTGAACTGCCTTGAGAACTGCAGGTATAGGGCGGTATATGCATTTAATAATAATAATAATAATAATAATAATAATAATAATAATAAATGCTCCTTTTTAAAACAAGCAAACCAACAAACCTTTTGAAGTTCTTATTTATTAAATGCTTGTTCAATAAACTAACCAGCAGAGGATGCTGTTGCAAAATTATTTCCAATAGCGCCTAGAAAAACAGCTTCCTAATCCTTTGTGTAAACCCACATGAACCAAATTCCGCTGACAAGGGTGGTGGTGTTTCTGATGGCACAGAGTTTTAACCATGAAAGAAGTGATTGGCTGCTTTGAACATGTGTTTGTTTAAATATTCATATATCGCTGTATCACGGTGGTTTACAACAAGATAAAAACCTAAAACCAAACAAGAAAGTCATAAAAAGTTAAAGCCCAGTTTAAAATAAAAAAGAACTTAAAAACAAACATCACTAGGCCATTGTGGGGATGTGCACTTAATTGCCTGGCAGAACAGAGAAGTTTTTAGCAGCTGTTTAAAAGTTGGCACAGAAGGCGCCTGCTGAATCTCTTGTTAGCAGGGTATTTCACATGACTGGGCTGATAACTCTAAAGGCTAGATTTCTCATTGTCAAACAAGCCTCACCAAGGGCGGGTGGTGATAAATAGAAAAAACCTGCCCCAGTTCTCTCTCAGCCCTATCCCCACTCCCAAATCCTAGTCCTTTGCATCTCCATATCTTTTAAATTACAGCTCCTCTCAGTCCCTTGAAAATAGGGCTCTCCTCTTAGACCTTGCCAACACCTCTGTGACCTTAAGAGCTAAACTGCTCTTAAGAAAGGTACTGTTTTTCCACCACCACTGTTTAAACTGCAGGCTTCTCCTGTTGCTGATTCTGCTTTTGGAAGACTAGCAGAAGGTGCATAAGAGAGTGATGTGGAGGAAACTGGAATGAAGAGGTGGGGAGCAGCAAAGTGTAGTTGACTGGGTTACCAGTGGGAACGCAACTTTTACTGGGACAGAAGTCATATTGAAAGTCCCATGATAAAAAAAAAACAGTTTACTTCTGAAAGAAAAAAAGTAGGAATTGCAGGGCTGGGAAGAATGATGTTTTTCATGCTTAGCGCCTCAAAGCCCTTCCCCAATGTCATGTGGAACACAACAAAGGTTAAATTAGTCAGTTCATTGTGGCCCACCAGTGGCTGCTGATTGCTAGGACTCTTGCAAAAGAATTTGAACTACAGTATTTTTCGCACCATAAGACACACCTAGTTTTTAGAGGAGGAAAACAGGGGGGGAAATATTCTGAATCAAATGTTGTACTAAACTATTTAATAAGCTACTGGTATATCAGAGTGAGAGTGAGAGGGACAGGAGCTGTATGTTTCTTTAGCGTGCGCGCTCAAGGAGCGACGAGCGGGGAGGCAGCACACCCCTGGACAGACCCGACACGGGAACCCCAGAAGCCTCCTCTTGTGTAAGTGGCTCCTCTCCCGCTTTGCTGCTTTAAAGCGAGCTGAGCCGGGGAGGAGAGAGGGAAGGAGAGCCTGTCCCTCCCTCCCTCCTCCGCGGCTCGCTTTAAAGCAGCAAAGCTGGACAGGAGCCGCTTACACGGGTGTAAGCAAACCAGGAAGGAAGGGGAGCCATGGATCCTCCGCTCGCGACTGCAGCGGGATCCCGCCGCCGTCCATAGGCATTCACTCCATAAGACGCACAGACATTTCCCCTTACTTTTTAGGAGGAAAAAAGTGTGTCTTATGGAGCAAAAAATAAAGTATTTTGGACTTGATCTGACCCAGGAAAGACACTTTGCTTGTTTTCAGAGTTCCCTGTCATGGATAAGTTAAGCTCTACAGTCAAGAGATCTTGAATAATATACTCTTGCTTTGGAAATTTTAAAATGTATCAGTAGGCCATAGGGATTCTAGGAAAACCAAGATGGTAGACTATACAAGACAGGTTGGCCTACCCCTAATGCTGGGTTTGTACCACTCAGGATAAAAGTGCTATGTGGCCTTTTGAATGGGTGCATCTGGGTAAGTCCTCATTAGTTTTGCAGATTTCCAAAGTAGTAACTCCCAGGCAGAGAAGAATGAACGCATGAATAGTTTGTAATTTTATCAGGACAAGTTATTTGTTGTTTACTGTTGTAATAATTGTTTTCTCAAAATTTTATCTTCTGTACCATGAAAAGAAATAAAAACAGTATTAAACTTTAAACGATTAAGATACCCCTTCCCCAGTACAAAAGAGGCAGTAATAGATGTAACGTAGAAACCTGATTTACTTTGTTGCAAACAAATAGACAATAAATATATATTGTACAATATATAGTAAAAATACAGCATAATACGAGTGCCACTAAGAAAAAAAATAACCTAATTTTAAGACTTATAAATGCTTATTTTGTAATATATACATTGCAGAAATAAGCCACAATAAATACATCAAATTACATGTCATTCATCATAAATACTGAAAATATAAATACAAGATACAGTTAAAATAAAAGATTACAGCATAAGGTCCAGGTTAAGTTTTGTCAAATGTTTTTGTTGCCTACATTACCCTTTTGGTATTTGTGAAGTTGCAACTTATAAAGCAAAATTAAATCAACATATGGAGGGAATAATGCCAATTATGGGTTTTGAGTTTTACATTAACATTCTATTCTCTTGCCATAAACGTCTTGGAAGAATGCCTGAGGAACAGAAAACTGGGAGCAAGTGACCTGGTCAGAGCAGGGGCCCACAGTAGCTGAGCCAAAGCTACCTTGCATAACACTAACCACCATTGAGAGGCTTTGGGTGGTGGTGTGTAGCTTCTGTCTACAATGACTAAGTTGAGAGACCCATCCATGGTGATTAAAAACCACCCTCATAAAAAGATAATCATGTGTATCTACCCTCAAATGTGTTAAGTTAAAGCAGCATTACGGTTATTTACAATTTTCAAGCAGCTATGAGAATCTACTTCTACATCTTAAAGCACGAGTTCTGATTTTTTGTTTTTCCTGAATTGGAAATACCATTGGACCCATGGCTGTATACACTATTTACTTTAATTCTTGAGAACATTCCAGATCAGAGTTACAGATGAACTTTGTGTTTTTCTTTCCATATATCAGTGGCAATTGAGAAAGAAAAAAGAAGGGGCAGTAGATAGGGTAAGTCATACAGAGCTAATAATTGTCCAAAGCAAAGAGATTCCTCATTGGGTGAGTTTTCTTACATAAGGTATACACAGTGTGAATCAGTATAAGCTGCATCTCTCTAATAAAGTGCTGGGTCACACCTGTCCACACAATGCTTTCCTTTTTGAAGACCTTAATAGCAAAGTAGGTAAATGAAAGAAAGCAAGAGCAGTTCAGTTTCATTATGGTGAGTTCCAGGCTGTTGGGAGAGGAAGGGATTTTTCTTTACTATTTACGTCTTATCAAATTTCTAGTACCTAAGGTACTTTGCATGTGTTATTTTTACCAACTCCACCCCAAGTCTTTTTCCAAACGAAACACCTGTAACTTAGTCCACTGAATGAAGAATTACTGAATGAATGAATTACTTTGCATGGATGAGGTGAATATGGTAGCCATCTGAATCAATAGGTATGAAATAGTAAAAGCTTTAAATTCATGCTCCTATATTAATATTTCTTTTGGCTGTAAACAAATGAGTTTCAGGTCACCTAGGTACCTACACTCAGAGGAAAAAAGTGAAAACACCCCATTAAATCTACATAGTTAAGGTTTTGGGGGGCAGTGAGGAAAGGCTATTTTCACCATGCATCGCAAATAAAATTTCCTAAATGGAATTTTGATGGACTGCCACTCCAACCCTACGGTTTTCTTAACAGACAGCTCAAGGAATAGCTTGCACTGCCGTAGATGAGGCATGGTCCTTTGCAGGTGGATAAGTAGACCACATTGGTTCTGTTCCCCTTTCCATATCCCCTCCCTCCTTTTTCAGTTATTACTGATGGTATTGTCTTCCATAGCAACTTACAAGAGTTGGGGCTGGAGCCTATGCTTATTCCTAAAAGACTTAACAGGTTGAGGCATGCTAGTCCTTTACACTAGCAGCAGGGGACACAGTGTTGCTCAGGTGTTGGCAGGTGATCCTAAGAGCTGCAGCATATCTATTTCGGAACTACGTATATTCCTTACAATGAAACTAAGCTTTCGGTCTTGCAGGGAAGCCCTCCTGCTTGCTAATGTAATATTTGGCACCTTACGCCCTCCTCCTTGGTATTACATTCTCTAGCAAATAGGGATATGTATAAACATAATCTTCGAGAGTTGCATTATCTATTTTGATCAGGATATGCATCTATATGAACAGAAAGCACTTGACTGTGCCATAGGATTTGTGCATCTCCCATTCCCACTAGCATTCATCTACTTGTGTCGAACAAGATTAATTCAGTTTAGGTTAGTTGCAAACTTGTGTGTTGTGTTCCATATTATCCCACATCCTTGTAGTCATGTTTTAAACATGGTTCTATTTTCCTGTGGAAATTAATGGGGAGGGGGAGAAAGGGAAATAATTGAGGACAAAAATAAATTTATTTAGCACATTGGGAATTTCCTGAACATTTTAAGAGCATTCCCTTATAATGTAAACTGAGTCATCTTGATCCAGTAAGAGCATCCTGTCCCTTTCACACTGGGTCCCATTCCCAGAAGGATGCTACGTGAAGAAAAATGGGATCCAGCATGGTTGTTCCATCTCACGTTTCATCCATCTGTGCATGGGGCTTGATGTAGAAAAGCCTTGTATTCTATGGCATGATTGTATCCTTGCAATCATTTCAGTAGAGGCTATTTCTCCATGTGCTCTATCTGGTCTCTGGGGTAAAAAAAATAAAACCTTTTGGTGACTTTGGGATGCACTGGATTACTGTAACTGAGAATGGCAGGCAGACTGGAAGACTTCAGGAAAGAACACTCCTGGCTGTATAAAAAAAAAAAAAATCAAAAATCCTGGAGCCAAATCAATCTGCTCTGCCCATCTTTAAAGATCAATAACACAACATGCAAGTGAGACATAATTGGCCAGGAAAGTGCTCCCAGTTGTTTTCCTTCTGGCCTGCTAAAATTAATGTGCGGGGTGATTTGTTATTAGATAGAAATAGGTACGACAATGTCTGTTTCCAATGGGGAATGCTGTGTTCCAACTTGCTGACTGGTACCTAAAATTAATGTGCATCAATGCATGTAAACTCAGCAAGATCATCTTCATTATCTGTATGGCCTAGAGAGCCATCACGAAAACTAAAGCAGAACATGCAAAACTTGTACAAAACACATTCACTGTTATTTGTCATTTAGTCACAACAAGCCATTTGGCACGTAAGGCTCACAGATATCAAACCAAGGGCTAACAATACAGGACGTACAGCACTTGTGTGAGCCACGGGAGTTCATTCCACCATCTCCCATGCATTGTGCTCCATATGGCAAAAAGAAATTGGATTTTGGGGGGTGGGTAGAGATTCGAACAAATCTGTGGTGCTGTAGAATGTGAGAGAGCTTCACATGGGAAGGAAGTTTGACTCCTTGCTAACATCCAAGTGACTCTGGGCCTTGCTGTGTGGCAGACGTTGATCCGGCTGCTTGAATTATGCAGGCTGGTAAAATAGTGAATAAAACTATTAAAGAAGCTTGATGCTTCATACAACTATGGCGTTTGCCCCCTTGGAGCATGAGCTGATTGACAGAAGGGCCATGTCACCCGCCCCAGGAGCAAGTGCTTAAAGGCAAACATTTACAGCCAATTTAGAAAGGCTGATTTAAGACAGTACCCTTAAGTCTACAGCAGGGAGCAAAATGTGTGCATGGCTGCACAGGGTATTTCTACATGATAGGTATAATCTTGATCGAAACTGGATATGGATATTAATTTTAAATGTTACTTAAATGTAAAATACTGTAGCAGTAAGTTCAGCTGATTCTTTTTATCACAGTGTTTGTCCAGTAAGGGTTTGTGTTCACCTGGCGCACAAAGGTGCTTCCTCAAGTCCCTTTTTAAAAGAACTGAATTATCCAAACGCAACAGGAAGTGATGTATTTTTTAGATAGGCGGTGCTCAAGGCTTTAAATTTAAAATTGCCCCTGTAGATGAAAGGATTATGTGTGGATAGCCTTATTAAATTGCCCTTTTCCAAAAAGTAGAGTTTTATATTATCTGTGGATATGGTAAAACTCTTGACTTGGCTGTTAAGTGGGAAAGACAGATTTTGGACTTTTGTAGTCCTAGGTTACACTCATAGGCATTGTTCTCACTATTGAATAAGAAATCTTAAAAACAATCTTTTCTATTAGCAGCCACCTGATTAGGGATTTCTGTGGTGTGCACACAGTGCTCTGCTGCCTGCAAGGATCCCCAGTTCACTTCAGCGGAGTTCACGTCTCCAGACTCCCATTTCTTTGCATACACACACCCGCTTCCTCCACAGATGTAAATGGAGAAGGCAGAGTCCACAGTAGCCTTGGCTCGAGCATAAATAGCAGAAAACAAAGAGGAGTGCAAAGGCTTGAGTCCTTTAACTGAACACCAGCAACTGCGGACATATTCCTGTTGATTTCAACCTCCTTTTGGATCAGGCCTTTAAAATATTGCTACAGTACCATAGGTGAAATCTTAAGTCACACTGGAGTGAATGGCTCAATGCCCCTAGAACCCTGTCTGTCTTCTATTTACAACGCAGTTGCTTTCTCAACACAAAGACTCCTCTTACCAGTGACTTACTCATATATCCAGAAATTGGCTAGAGAAAACATGGATCATTCCCCCCCCCTAATTTTTGCCTATATGACTTAAAAGTAAAATAAAATTAAAAAATTAAAAAACCTACCATCTAGCATACCTTGAAGACTTTCCATAGCCTCCACAAGTAAGGGGAGGCCCTAAAGTGCATTAGTTAGCTGTATATTTGCAGGGCAACAAAGAGCCAGAGTTTTCATCCTGAAAGTGAACATGAGGCACACAATGCACCGAAAGGTAGTTGCAACTAAATTCTACTGAAAGAATTGAAGATGAGGTCCCGTTGATTTCACTGGTTCATCAGGCTAGTTTTCTATTAACCATAGCAATCCAGATGGCCTGTTAATTTGAGCATTCATCCTGATTTGTTTGCGGGGAGATTAGAAAGCATTGGCTTTTTAAATGAACATTCATTCTGATACGCTTGTGCAGAGGTTAGATAACAGTGTTATCCCACACTTTCCTTACTGCAAAAAGGGCTGATGTTTGGAGGGCGGGTTGTTGCATGAAACCTGTCAACAATTACGACTGTGCACCCTGGTGTGTGATTGAATCCCACCCCAAAACAGTGACAATCTGACATGTTCATGTGGCCACTGTAGGTAATGGGGAGTCTGTGTGCATGGGGCTAATGGAGAGCAAGGGTGGTGTTGTGTAGTGGTTAGAGTGGGCAACTCCCAACTCAGTCACAAAATCAACTAGGTGCCTGTCTTTAAAATACCAGGATTACTGAGAGAATAAAATGGGTAAGGGGAGAACCATGTGCTCCAACCTGTAAACCTAAAAAATGTAAGAAATTAAAGTCTCTCTGGGGGTTTATTTTTGGGTGGGGGGTGGGGTGTCACTGGAGGTCCCGTCCCTATGGTACATACTACTAAAGAAGCAGTGGTTGTACTACTATGATAATATATGTTACATCATAGGTCCAATGGCAAAAAAACACACCTGTGCCTCTGGGAAGTGGAGCGCAGGAAGATGTGAAGAGCAGCTAGATTCTGCATGTATTTAATAGTGTTCATTTCCTTACGTAGCTTTTGGGTAGAAAACTGAGCAACAAATGAAATGCCCAAAAGAAAATAAACGCATGAACCAGTCACAACTAACTTTTGGTGACTTGTGCCCAGCTTCCTTTATTTTCAAGGGATGTTGGTGCCAGTTAAAACCAAAAACCAGAGGATTGTCCTATATTTCACCTTCCTAGCAATTATAGATGCCTATGAGTGCAGTTCAGAAGGTGGAGCTTGTGCACGCCCTTCATTCATTTTATAGAGATGGGGCAGGAACGCCCCACCCGTGTTGCTGAAACGAGCGAATCATGCCTAGCAGTGGTACTTCCTGGACTGCCCCCAGCTTACAAGTATGACTGGAGGCTAGGGCACTTCAAAGAACATAATTCAATGTCAGCTTCAGACGTGGTCACAAAATATTTATATAATTTTCCTTATGAAATTTGAAGTGGCTGTGCTGTGCTGCTCAAATGTTCAGCTCCAAAGAACATGCTGTTCATTTTTTATCAAGACATGAGTACTAAGCTACAATAAATAAAATATACATTACCAAACAATTCAGGGGCGGTTTTTTTGTACAGTAATCACATCTACATTTAAAAAGTCACCATCTCTTCAAATATGTGTGACAATTTTGTACTCTAAACATGACGTTTCCAAAGTAAAATTTTCATTATCTTGTACTGGTCTGATAATACAAAGGGAAGCTTTGAGTCTCGATAGGCCAGCTTCACGCTGTTTAACAGGTAGGCGACTATTTATTATTATTATTTAATCTAGGTATTTTCTATCAAAAGACCATTTGATTTCCCCCCCCTCCCCGCTTTTAAATTTTAACTTTTTACATGAACTGCCCTTGTGCAATGGCCTAAACCAGAAGAAATATTCAAAACACTAACCACAGTCTTGTCCCCTTACCTCTATTGCTAAGAGGGGGGAGAGATTGGTTCCAGGGAATTAAAACAGAGTGCAGTTAAATATAGGGATTCTGTCCTAAAATAATTTAAACAGGTACCGTTTCCATGACAGGCGATTTGATACACTCTTCATGCAGTCTGCTCTTTTCTGAGAGGCTGAGCGAATTCTCAGCGGGACGCTCTGGGAGGTGAGTGCCGCCATTCAAAGCAGAAACAAATCCATCTTGAGAAGGACTTTTCAAGTATGAGGGAAAGTCCACTTGGGAGTGTCTTGGCCTATGCTCAGCGTATAGGCTACTACACGGAACAGTGCCGTCGCTCTCCGAAGACGAGCAGCAAACTATGACGGACGGGTTTGAAGGAGGATAAAGCGAGCCGCTATAACTTTCCTCTGATTGCCGTGTGTAGTCCACAAACTGTTCTGAAGCTGGATTATAAGGCACCAGAGAAAGATTACCATTCTTAACTGTATCCCTTTCAGAGTAAGCCTCACGCATCTGGCTAGGAGTGCCAGGGCTGTGGTTCTCTATTTGGTAATAAAGCGCTGAGGAGTTGCCATAGTAGGAGGAAGCCTTGGAGTGAGTCTCGTGCATGGCGGTGCTGTCGGAGTAGCAGAGGACCGAAGGAAGAGCTTGCACCATGTCGCCATGAGCACCCAAGCCTTCCACAAAGTCATCCACCTTTTCCTCGTCGTCATCCTCATCGTCATCTTCTTCCTCTTCCTCATCTTCATCTGTTTCACTGGGTGCTAAACTCTGGGTGCTGGAATCTGTAACCCCGCTACAAAAGCTGCTAGCGTCTTCCTCCTCCTCTTCCTCCTCCTCCTCTCCTGGGCAGTCCAAGTCATCGGCTGACTGCAAGTGCATCACGCCGGCCCGAGATTCTGCTTCAATCTCAAAGTTATCTGGGACGGAATATTCTAGCGGGTGGGCTGCGGGGCCCATAGAGCTGCTGTGAGCGCTTATCTCGCTGTGGCAACCGTTCAGCGCAGAGACTTGCTGCTCTCTGCTCTTCTCCAATTCAAGTTTCATTATAGTGTGCAAAAAGTGAGTCCGAACGCGGATGGGGTTAAATTCAATTCTACCTGCCGTATTGCTACATCCTTCTTTAGTGCAACCACATGGGAAAGACATACGATCCACCTTTAGGAAAGAGACCATGGATTAACTAAGGGTCTGAAGGAGGAACTCTATAGTGCAGAACCTTGCCAAGCTAGAAATTGGCAGTAAAAGCCAGGAGCTATATTCAGGAAAGCTGCCTCAGATATATGATCAAAGGGGTGATATGGAAAATAAATGATTTACATTAATTTTAAAATGCCCAGTCCATTATATTGCATCTTGCGGAAATAAATCCACAGCAGGGGGACATTGGAAAGGAAGAATCTCAAAATTGGTTGCTCCATAAAAGACACCAAAGGTAAAGGGACCCCTGACCATTAGGTCCAGTCACGACTGACTCTGGTGTTGTGGCGCTCATCTTGCTTTATTGGCCGAGGGAGCCGGCGTACAGCTTCTGGGTCACGTGGCCAGCATGACTAAGCAGCTTCTGGCAAACCAGAGCAGCGCACGGAAACGCCGTTTACCCTCCCGCCAGAGCGGTACCTATTTATCTACTTGCACTTTGAGGTGCTTTTGAACTGCTAGGTTGGCAGGAGCAGGGACCGAGCAACGGGAGCTCACCCCGTCGCGGGGATTTGAACCGCTGACCTTCTGATCGGCAAGTCCTAGGCTCTGTGGTTTAACCCACAGCACCACCTGCGTCCCTTAAAGGACACCAAGGGCAACGTAAATGTAAAACGGCTGATTGCTTGCTAATAGGAAAGCAATCAAGATTGGTCCTTGGGGGTTTCATACTCTTTTCTAGAGCATGAGTCCCCCCGTCCGCACTCTGCTGGACCCAAATGATCTCAACTGTTATGTTACCATAGCTGTCAACCATGGTTATGCTTAACCAGGCTTAGGACTCATTATCAGAAGCCATGACTTATGAGAACCCTATTTATGCTGCTCCCCTATAGCAAATGGACGGGTGGGTGCTGCCACTCATCTGGCCTCCTAACAGCATAGTTGCTGTTGCATACTGAGATAGGCATTATAAAACGACTCCTAGAATTTCCTATCACTGGGGGAAGTATGAAAAATACATTAAGAATATTTGAATGGCGGGGGGGGAGGGAGGAGGATGCCACTGGGTTTTTAAAAAACCAAATACCTGTAAGTATACTTTGGCTTCCCCTCGTTCCCCCCGGCCCCTTTAAGACTGCACCTGAGTTCAGTTCTCACCTGGCATTTTATGCCTGCAAGGCTGCAGGTACACGTTTCTGGGTCACAAAAGACTCGACAGTCACAGCCGCAGTCCTCCCTTGACAGGCGAATGGCTCGCAGCTCGTGTTTTTCTTCTACGTCAATCTTCTTGACCCCGGAGGCTCTCAGGAGTGCCCTTCGCTTTTTTGTTGGCAGAGGCTGTAGAAAGAAGTACTCGTCTACTTCTGTGTTATCTAGATCTATATCATCGTCGGAAATGTCGTCCAGTGTCAAAGTGTTTGCTTCCTCGGACTCCACGGTGCCGTTCTTGGTCATCTGCAACACAGAGCCATGAAAAAGCGTGTGGAGGATTCATTGAGAAGAAGAGCCATTCTCAGCTCGAAAACAGTTAACAAGGGCAATAAACCCTGTTTTTATCATGAAAGGATATACAGTGGTACCTCGGGTTAAGAACTTAATTCGTTCTGGAAGTCCGTTCTTAACCTGAAACTGTTCTTAACCTGAAGCACCACTTAGCTAATGGGGCCTCCCACTGCCGCCGCACAATTTCTGTTCTCATCCTGAAGCAAAGTTCTTAACCCGAGGTACTATTGCTGGGTTAGTGGAGTCTGTAAACTGAAGCGTATGTAACCTGAAGCGTCTGTAACGCGAGGTACCACTGTATGAACATGGCTTTCAACCAGTGCTTTTTTTCTGGGGGGGACACAGGGATACGCATACCCCTAAACATTTTGTGAATCTAAGTTTGGCCTCATTGAGGGGCAGTATTTCAATATGAGTAGGAAAATGAGAGTACCCCTAAACATTTTTTTTAGGGGGGGAAAGCACTGCTTTCAACTAAGGAGCTCCTGGCATGGAAGTGGGCGGGCTTGTTCCAGTGCTTCTTACTGTTTTTGAACTTACCAACTTATGGCACTGCCCTATATAGTGTGAGACCATTTATCCTTCTATCCCAGTATTATCTATCTGAACCGGCAGCAGCTTTTAGCATCTCTAACTCCTAGTACCAGCCACTTTTCCTAGGTGAGGCTACAGACAATCCGTGATGGAAAGCATCGAATTTGTCACGCAAAAGAGGGGAAAGAAAGGCTCACGGGAGTATTGGCAACAATCTAAGTGGCAGGGCACTTTACTTTCAGAAACCTTCCATTCTAATGGAATTGATCCTCAACCTAATGTTAATCTCCAGCTTTGTTACTGCAGTAGTAGCCATCTTGTTTTGCCTTATCTATGACATACTGCAAAGGTCCTCTGAGACCTGAATTGTGCCACGAATGAAGAAATCAGTGATGTGGGGCAGAAAATGTTCCTGTTTCACGAGTTCCTTTGCAACAAGGAACGGATACCAATTGCAAATATGACATTAGGCAAGCTTAGCAGGTTCAAAGCTTTGTTTACGGAATACAAGCAAAATAAGTGTGCTAAATTGTATCTGTCTGGTGGTAAAGGTCCTTAATTCCCCAACCCTTCACAGGCCAATTTTGACAATCGCCTTTCAATCCAAGAGCATAGATGTAACCACTGATAGCTGGTCGGCAGGTACAACTGATTGGCGCTGGGAGTGTGCCTGCAATGGAGCATGCTCAGCTTTGCGCCCCTGGTAACTGAGCTTTCGCCCTTCATTTGAGAAAGTGGCTTGAATGCAAACTGCTTTGGAACTGAGCAAACACGCCCCCCAAGCTGCGCTAGGGAGTTCTCCCACCAGGAACTGTCTAGTGCGGACAGCCCAGTGTGGCTTCCTGTCAGTGTGATAGGGACCCCCACTTGCAAATAAACTTTAGGCTGCCGATTGTCCCTTTGAGGCCACGTTCGCAACTGCCCCACACCTGCCATTGTATGTGACATTGGATGTGGGACAGGTGGCAACAACCTTGAAGACCAAATTGACAGGCATAATTTTGCCTGTGACTGGAGGCTCCCTACAGCTGCTCTACAGCAGCAGAAAATTTTCCTATGCAAATTTAAACTAATCTGCATAGGAACCCCCCCAAAATATTAAAGACTGCATATTAATACACCTTCTGCTACATATTTGTATTCAGCCTTACATAGCCTGAGACCTCAGAGATAGTAGGCAAAACAACACCATCTGCACACAGAAGTACTCTTGAGAACCCTAAGGTTTGCAGAAATTCTACTAATCTTTAGAAAAAGAAAACCACTAAGTAGGAAGGGAACCCCGAAAAAGAACCCAATGAAGGCAGAGCATGCTCAGTGGGCATGGAATGCTGACTGACTGTTGATGGGAGGTGGAGGTGGAATGTCCATAACAGGAGCACTTCATACTGCAAACGTTTATTGCAGGCCCCACATGTAACTGCATGCTCTGCCATAGCTTCTTTGATTCTGCAGAGCCACAAACTAAACGGAACAACTAAGCTGGGCAACAGCATCTACTTCCACTGTACAGCTCGCTCTGAGACCCTTGTCTCACAGACAGCACCATGTACTTCTTTGAAACGTGTAAAAATATTTTTGACACAAAGATGAACCAATGTTCTGCTCTCTTTCCAACCAAGTGGCCAGCAGGTGGCGCTCTCAAACAACCTGCAGCTGACTAGGGACTGTGCACTATGTGCTTTAAAAATCAACAATAGGCCTTTCCCTGTTTCAAATGTGGTTTTAAATCATGAGTGGGGTGGGCAAATGTTGCTGGACTCCCAACTTCCATCACCCTTAGCAGTTCACCATTCTGGCTGGGACTGATGCTGCTTGGAGCCCAATGACATTTGGAGGGCTCCAGGTTCTCCGCCAAAATACATTTTGTACTCTTACTCATTTGTTTGTTTTAAGCAGAGCTGCATAAAACCTGTTTTTATCCATCTTCACTAGAAGGAAGGTTTTTGAGTTGTTATTTTCATCTATGCTAATTATTTCCTTTTGTATTAATTTTGTATAGTGTCGGTTTTTGTTTTGTTTTGCTTTTTAAGCTGCCTAGAGCACTGATGGGAAGCCATGCACATATCACCACTGCGACCATCATCTTGTAATAACCCATTTCTCGCCTGCTTTGCTCCTAACACTGCCAGCGCGATCCCAAGACATGTGGGATGTGGTCTGCTTTGCCCACTCCCCTTCACAAGGACAGAGTTGAGGGGGTGAATTTGCAGTCAGTTTTGACTCTGATCTGGATGTGATCTGCTTTCAAATCAGCCGAACTGAGTGCTTCAAATACTGCTGCAACCACCTGCTCAATCTGGAGTGCCTCTGTGGCGCTTAAGCAGACGATGCGAGTCCAATATGGCCCACTGGCCATGTATGGTGACTTGTCTTCATGTGTGTGTATTTGCCAGTAGCCTGGGACCATAAAAAAATAAGAGATTGCTCAAGTCCCAGACAAACAATATGAGACACAAAATTTTGCAGAGACAGTCAGTAGAATCATCTCTCTGAATGCCAGGTGTGTCCAGTACCTGTAAGCTCTGACTGGGCATGAGAAGGAACACATAAACAGATTGGTGCAGGACATGCTTCAGTCAGAGTCACCTGCAGGTAGATACCATACAGAACACATATAAAATGGGTTCCAATATTTTATCCGGCAGCCTCATCCCACATTACCCAGATTCCTAACACAAAGCAGCGCTTCCTTAAAATAACCAGCCAAAATCTCTTGTGCAGAACAATCGGCACTAAGCAACTTGGCTAACCATAATTAAATTTTGATCAAAGCGAGAACTTTGATGGGGGGAAATGAATTGCCATCGTATCTGCATAGCAGGAAGGAAGCTGTCACCTTAAAGAGCTCAGGTGGAAGCCTATTACAAATCTGATGAGTTAATGTGGGAAACCGGGAAGATGCCAGCTTCCTTGGGGCAATTGACGTGCAGCCATGTTAGAAGCGGAGACGCAATCTTGCCAAGGATGTAAGTGCGGCAATTCCTCTGTTTCCTGCTTCTTGCCCACACGGTAGAGAGGCAAAGCAGTTCGCTAGCCTTGTCCTTACCTTGAGCTTTAAAGAATTCAGTTTCTCCTCCCTGAGATGCTCTCTCAACATCTCTCGGTGAAGCCTCTCTTGCTCCATCGCAAATTCCCCCAGTGTGTACTGGCGCACACTGTTGTGACGTGTGGACATGCCCAGGGTGCTTCCTCCTTGGCTGGGAACGCTTGTGAACCCTTGCCTCCTTGTGAAGTAGTACACGGTAACGCAGTTAAAATGAACATTCTTCGTCCTCTTCCGCTTCTCTCTTTTCAGAATCGATGATGCTGCAAAGAAAGAAGATGACCAGCTTAGAATGAAAACCGTTCTCACCATTTCACAAATTCTCAGCAGTGGGGTTCCCCAGGCCAGCTGGTGCTGAGCACCTCTGCCTGGGGGAATCAGGGATGAGGAAGGAGTGCTGGTGGGAGGAGCAGGCATGAGTGCAAGTTGTGTGTGCCTCCACACACACAACCGATTTCCCATGTGGGGAGAGGGAGTTATTCCCATTCTCGGCCTTCCTCGCTCTGTGCAGTTAATTGGGTGGAGAAGCTGGCCTGTTGCCAGTTTCCTTCTCTCTCCCTCCCATATCAGCATACATGCTTAATTTGGCATTCAACTTATTTTCATTCATTTTCATTATTGTTATTAGCATATAGTGCTACTGCCACATTTAGTCAATTCATTAGTTTTGTTAACGGATCAAAAACATTCTGAAAGGCTAACAAACTACCCCTTCCCCCCAATCAACGGGGAAGTAGATTTATAGCCATCTTAAGTTATTTTTAGCAATCCTTAATACAAAACTGACATTTTCAAAAAGGCTTTCATTCCGTGTGAAAACAGGAACTGCCTGTTCAAAGACAATACCTGATGTGACATGTTGAATTCACACATCACAACAAAAGAATATCGGGGGTTGGTTGGTTTTGGTTTGTTTTTGAACTGCTTTCTCATGTGCCTATTTAGGCAGGGTTAATGGATTACTCAGCTAAAACTCTTAGGACTCCTTGGTCATTTAATCAGGTGGTAGTCAATGTTGCTGTTAAAAGTTTTGCTGCAGTGCAGTTCCATCAATGTTCATTGGACTTTCCAGAGCAACTTTAATTTGTTTCCAATCTCAATTTCCGATCTTAACTGTGGAACAATGCGAAGACAACAAAGGTGTTGCAAAAGACATTCAAAGGTGTTCCAGTAAAAGCAGGCACTGCTTCTCTTACGAGACAAACCTAACTGCTTATTTTTATATAAAGCAGAATAGAGGCCTAGAACCCCTAACTATATAGCCAGCCATCTCAGAGGTAACAACAACATGGAGGTTCTTCTTCCCATACTGTCTCTAGGAACCAGGTGCCAGGAGTTAGGACAGGAAGACTTAAATACCCTGGGAGTGGACCTTAGGAAGGCCTATTTCCTCCTGGGGGCACCTGCTCTCCAAGCCTGTCTGCCATTGACCAATTTAACAGGAGCCAGATTTCCAAGCTGGCGAAGGGAGTCAACACTTGCCCACCGGAAGTGAAAACCCTGTCAGTCCTGGTTTCCGTCAGGTCCCAGTGAAAGGAGGCATTGCCAACCTGCCGCACCCATTAGGGCAAGTGGACTTACTTATTTTTACACATCTGTAAGTTGCATTTCCATTAAAAATATAACAAGACAGAATACAACAGATAAAAGCAAAATCAACAAAGATATCCATAAAACATAAGAAGCTAGACAGTCCTTAAGGGACTTTGACCCCAAGTTGTTTAAGACATTATGAATTAACAGAAGTCCCTTGAACATGGCAGCTCTCTTAGTGGTGGGGTAACATATTGCCAGTAATCTGGTCCTGTGAGCAGTCTGCACAACTGTGCAGCTGTGGACCAGATAAAAGGGTAATCCCCACATAAAGCACAGCTATCAAGCCTTCAGGCAGTGCCAATGCATGGGCCACTGTGGTCAGGCTGTCACCGTTCAGGAAAGGTTGCAGCTGGCAAACCACCTGAACCTGGTAAAAGTCACTCCAGAGCACAGAGGTCAACTGGGACTCTAGTGACAAAGATGGATCAAGGAATACCCCAAAAATGAACACCTGCTCCTCCTTCAAAGAGAGTGCCATCCCATCCAGAACAGGCAGCTAATCTATCTCCTGGACATGGAAACCTCCAACCCACAAGGCCTCCCTCTTTATAAAGGTAAAGGGACCCCTGACAATTAGGTCCAGTCATGGCCGACTCTGGGGTTGCAGCGCTCATCTCACTTTATTGGCTGAGGGAGCCGGTGTACAGCTTCCCTGGTCATCTGACCAGCATGACTAAGCCGCTTCTGGCAAACCAGAGCAGTGCATGGAAACGCCGTTTACCTTCTTGCCGGAGCGGTACCTATTTATCTACTTGCACTTTGACATGCTTTCGAACTGCTAGGTTGGCAGGAGCAGGGACCGAACAAGGGAGCTCACCCCGTCGCAGGGATTTGAACCGCCAACCTTCTGATCGGCAAGTCCTAGGCTCTGTGGTTTAACCCACAGCGTCCCTATCTTTATTTAGGTATCCAACATAAAACAAACAAACACAGGGCTTTCTTAAACCTCAAGTAACTTGGATTGGCTAATTAAGGTTTAAGCAATGGAAACATTATTACCTGCCTAGTGAGTATCTTGCCCCATGTTTTCACAAACCGATTACTCTCTCATGGCATATCTTGTGCATGAGAAATTAATGCCAGAGGCCTGCCACACAGTGATGCTATTTAAGTAGCACGAATGCACGATGTGTGTTTGTCTTGTTTCATTCATTCCTTCATCTCTCCCATGTGCTGCACAAAAAGGTAGACTTGTCGTCATGCAGTTGTTACATCAGAAATAAATCAACCTGTCAGGAGCATAGTTTTCCTACATTCATCACACAGGCTGTGTAAACACCAGACCTTTTAAAGGGCATTCAAAGCACATACCCACACCCCAAGAATTCTGGGAACTGCAGTTTGTTAAGGGTGTGAAGAGTTGCAGGTTTGTGGAGGACAAATTACAGTTCCCAGGATTCTTGGATGTGTGCTTTGAATGTGTTTTAAAGGTCTGGTGTTTATCCCTTTCTCATGCATTCGAACATACTTTCTAGGCAATGCATACTGATTTTGAAAAGAGCGCCTTAAATAAAACAAAACAGCTCCTTAAATGCGTTATCCCTGCTGTGCAGCTGGTCCAGACAGAGATACCTCATGCTGGAATTCTGAATGCTTTTGTTTCCCCACAAAGAAGCAGGCCGTTGTTAGCCTGCAGTGTAGAATATTAACCGCGCACACGCATTAGCTGCTTGACTCCTGAAGATATGACAGGAGCCTGCCTGATTTACTGGGAGACGGCAGTAGGAGACTGGGGGGAAAACTAGATGATGAGTTATGGCTGTGCAATTTAGGTGCAACAGTTGCACAGGTATGATGGGAGAACAGTAATGGTCAGAAGGGAGGAACTGAGATGGTCATAAAAGATGCTGACAGCCTTTGTAACATGAGGCCATATATTTAACAGCAATAAGGCACAACAGGACGTGTGAGCTGGTTAAAAACTCTTCTGTCTCAGGCAATTAGAGCCATTTGGCCTTCAGGCCCTTCTTGCTGCCACACATCCACAGGGAGCAATACCAGGTTTTTTTAATCTTAGGCGATAGATGGGTTTCAACCCATCATGTTATTGGGGCAGGGGTGAGGTGGGACCTGTGACCAGTCAGTGAGTAAAAGAAAAAAGAAAATCACAATATTTTTCTCAAACTGTGTTCAGGGAAGGAACTCTGTGGTTCTTTAAAAGATCATCAGGGACACCTGAGTGAAAGGGTCAATGATGATGGATTTGTGTCCCTGAAGTTGTGAGGCCCAACGGTCTTAGCCAGTTTCCAGTGCAGTTAGTGTGTGCACCTCTGAACACGCTGCAGAATTCTCTGCAAGGCTTAAAGCTGGGGTTGGGGATTATGATGTTGCTGATATTTGTCACCATCCACCTGTCCTGGGAGACAATGGAAGAGTGCACCCTTGGGGGTGAATTTAAACTATTGGGGAGTTACAGCGCCTGCTGTGGCCGTAAAGACCGACATGGGAGACACATGTTTTGCTGCAGCTGGGGCAGAAGAAGGCATCAGGTTGTGCTGATGCAGGTATGCCCTGGCAATTCTTCTCTCTGAGCTCCTCCCGGTGGTCATTCCTCCTCTGGTCACTGCTGTGGATATACAACCTGATTGTCTCCAGGCGCTGCAGTCATCTGCAAGGGATTCCCACATGGCAAGTTTAATGTTGCCAGCCTTCAAGACTTGCTTGCAGACATCTTTGTTGGTCTGCCAATGGGCCTGGTGCCTGTAGTTTGCTGGACTACAGTTCCCATTATCCCTGACTATTGGTCATGCTGGCTGGGGCTAATGGGAGTTGGAGCTCAACAGCAGCAAGATAAATGGCTACAGATTCCTTTAAGGTTCCATGAGAGACAAGTCAGCATGGAAGAGGTTCCCTTCCATCATGCTCTCAACAGATGCTTCCATTCATCTTTGGTGCTTCCTGTTCCACACCACGAGTCCCTTCATTTGTGGCTCTTCAGTGACCCCATCCATACCAAGGCCATCGCACAACCTAGCCCAAACCTGGTAACAAAAGTGAGCCAGGTATGAAATAATCAATGTAACTTTCTCTTGTGAACATGAAACTGCCCAACACAATGACAACATGAGATGGAATATTATCTCTAGATACGATTAGTGCAGAAAAACACTGGCCGCTTTCTTTATTACCTTTTAGACCTCTAGCACTGCTAAAGCCTAGGACTTCTGGAAACGGAAACAGAATACCTTTCTACCAAAAACACAATCTTTTTCCTATAGGAAGCAATTATAGATCTGTTTCATTTATACCTCCAGGTGGCCTGTTTTATTAGCTTCATAAATAACTGAGTACACTATCACAGAGGGCCTATATTACTTTACAGCCATTATTTCATTGCTTTTATTTTTTAATTGCAACCTGGAACATTATTAATACACATTTGCTCCCATTCAGCAAGGGACAGCCAAGTGAGGAAGCAGGCATCATCTGAAGGCACAGCTGAGGTGCATCCTTATTGCTACATGTGGCAAATCAACAGCCTAGAAGAAAAACAGGATCAACCCTCTTCCAAGTCACGAAAGCTTCCTGCCTGATTGCATGGAAAGCCTGTTTGCCACAGGCGAGTGGCCAGGGACAAAACTGTCTTACCAGAATCTGGCCATTTGTTTGGCTAAGAGCTGAAATTGGCACAGAATGTGTTCCTTGTTAAGTATGAAGCTCCAGGTTTTATCTCCAAATAAAGCATCTCCTAGATCATCCCCTGATTTTATATCCTGCTCTTGCACAAGGTTCTCAGTGGTCTCCTGTCCAGACTGCTGAGTGGTTTCACACACGATTAGCTCCAGTAAGGCGACAGCATCTGGTGTTTCCAGCCCATCAACTAGGCTCTATCCTGTGTCAATTCTGAGTGAGATGCCTCTCTGAGACTTAGAGATCCAATGTGACCTTTAGTTGGTCTTCATGTGAGGAAACTCCTTACGCATAATCTTGCTTAAGCAAATTCTACCAAGCTTTCCAAAAATAGATCACGGAATTCCACCGGCGGGTGGAGGTGGGGGGGGGGTCTCGGCTCAGTTAAAAATAAACCGATGCTGTGAATGGAAAGCATGTTTGCCTTGTTTGCAAAAAAGAAAATGGGGTGGGGGCGAGAAAAAGTAGCATAAATGGCATGTCAAGCCTTTTAATCTTTTTCAAGCACCATTTCTACTGTAAAAAGAAGTTACTCAGTTACTAAACATAAATAAATTGAGCTTTCGCTGGCTGGGATCCAAAGTGTAAGCACTTTCCTCAGCAGTCTCAGCTATTCTCCTCCTGTCAAAGGCACATTAAAATAAATGTGAGCCATATGGCTCCGCAACAGAGTACCCGCAGGTTTACAACCAGCAGGGCAATGCAATTCGTTTACTGCCATCAGAGAAATATTTTAGGGAGAGGGGAAGTCTCAAGGCAAGAGCATGTAGCACAGAGCAGCCCATTTCTTTTTCCTTTTGTTTTTTAAAGCAACGTGGCAGACGACAAGGCTATTCTTAAAGCCACTAACCCATTTTCCTGCTTTTTGATGTATTCTCAGTGCTGTGCTGGAACATTCTAATAAAAAGGATTAACCCCATTCTACACCCACGCCCTGGATTTCCCACATAGTATTCATCAAGTCTTAACAAGATAGGACTGTCAAGTGTAATTCATCATCGCGGTAATCCAGGTCAAAACATCACTTTTCCAAAAGGCCCACTTTTAACAGCCATCCTAGAAAGCAAAGCCAGACGAAAGGCTCACGGACGCTAATGGACTTTAACGTCATGCACTAAACAAAATGAAATCTAAAGAAACAAAACAGATGCCGCCTTAATGTGCACTCCAAAAATAGCTTTGTTCTTTCTTGCAGACAAAGAGATGCCTTCTGTTGAGTCACAGGACTAGTCCATCTAGCCCAGTTTTGGTCTGTTCTGACTGGCCACTGCTCTCCAAGATTGCAGGCAGAAGGTTCTCTCCCAGTCCTGCTTTCCAAGCTCCATTAACTTGAGATTGCAAGGGACTGAATTTAGGATTTTGTATGTGCAAGTCATGTGCACTGCTGCTGAGATATATGTGGATCCAATACATCAAGCCTTTAATTTGGATCCTTGCAAAACTAAACGTGGACCAAACTGCAACCACAGCCTATTCAGGAAAGGAGACACCCTTGTCTTACATGAGCACTGGCCTCTTAGGATACCATAGGATACCAGGAAGGAATATCTGCTGCACCACTGTCTAGTCTAGTTGAATGGAACATAAGCACAGATGACCTTATTTGGCTTAGTGTTACATCCAAACCCAGGGGTGTGATTTGTTTCCCCCATACAAACCACTGACCAATAAGCCCCAAACAAACCTTGGTTATAGCTCATGGTTTGTTTGGAGATGAACCTGGGTTGAGACGTAATGCTAAACCAAACCGTGGCTTGGCTCCTGTCAACACAATTGTAAATACTGGAACCAGAACCAGAAGCTAGTCCCATTGACTACAGTGAGACTTAGTCCAAATCAGGTTACAATACTATGCACACAGAACACTAAGATATGTAGCCCAAAAGGGCAGTTTTTAATCCTACACTTCAACTAACATTTATTGTGTTAAGAGCTTTCTAGTCTAAATCTTAGTCAACCTCACAGCCACAACATTTCTGTCATAGCTTTAATTCCAATTTATACATAAGTTGGGAGGTTTTCTGAGTTGATTCTACTGAATGCTGCTTTGAGCCCTGGGCAGAGCTCAAGTTGTAATGTGACTAAGCAAAATACACAAAGCATTTTTGCCATTGCCACCATTGAACGCTGATGGTGGAGGAACAAGATAGGCTGAAGTTTCTAGGCCTGCAACTTGTGGGGTTTTGTGAGGGTGGACCTCCTTCTCTTCCCTCTGGCCATATCCACTCTATCCTATGGCCCCTGGTATACCCTTCCAGGGACCACACTATTTGATTTTATTGGCATTTTACTGTTCTTCTCTGCTTAAATTTTGATATATTTGAGGGATTGATTGTTCTTGCTGATGCTTGTTCTGCAGACTAGTTTTTACTGTTTGTAAGCTTCTGAATATTGTTTAATATAAAAGGGGTCTATAATCTATTTACATAAATAATTAGGCATTCATTAATTTTATAAATATTTTTTAAAAAACAACAATTTAAGCTGTAGTCCTATACCCATTTACTTCACGGTAAGTTTAATTGAACTCAACGGGACTTCTGAGTCACAGTGCATAGGACTCGTCTAAGTAATTTGCTTTCTGTGTAACATTTTCCTTTTTTGTCCAGCTTTGTGTGGGGAAGCCTGCAGATTTTCTTACCAGTGTCTCTAATCATTACCCTAAAGGGATGCTGAATAAATAAACCTAGCAGTGCATTCAGTAAGATTTTCAAGTCGCACTTGGACTATGTTCAAAGCTACTCTTAGTAGCTATTTAAATACAGTTGTAGCACAGCTCACCTTGGCCTCAAACCCTGAATCCATTCTCCAAAGCAGTCTGCTTTTTTATAGTTTATGTTTTACATTTTGTATTTAAGCCAACAGTGTCTTCTTAGAGCACTCTGCGAGGAAACACCACCTGATCGGCCTTCGCTCACCAGTATCAATCCTTCAGGATATCCTTCACTCGCAATTGCACCTCTCCATTTTTCTCATTATCCTCTTTTATTTCCATTCCCTCCTTCATTTTCTTCAGTCTGTTCTACATTTTTTTTGTCTCCCCCTCCTAAATATGTGGTGGTTTCTGAGATGGTTTACACAGCACATCTAAATTCCCATGCACCTTAGGCCCTCATGATGTCTGAAACCAAAAGGCACTCCCGCCAACTCTTTCTACAACTCTGAACAATAGCCATAGTGACAGCTTCTTCAAACTAAAGGCAAGGGCAGCAGGACCAAATATTGGGACTTGTGGGCAATGCAGAAAAATATTTGTGCTCTGTCCACACAGTAAAAGCCCAGGTGTGATGGAATGCTCAGCGTTCCACAGGTAGTCCTCCCCTTCTGGAGATTCTCCAGAGTGACGCCCCATGAGGCAATGTGCACATGTGGAAGTATTTTGCATATGCATATAAGGTCCTGGGGTCCCAATCAATATACTGAAAGCTCTAGACAGAGCATTCTGTTTCTAGTGTCAAGTCCTGGTTTGCTGTGGAACAGGTGTGAAGGGAACAAGATTGTAAACCTTCAAAAGTATGACCAAACTTCTCGCAATGTGTGGACCAGTTCACACATAACGTGCCACATTGTTTGATTTTTCTGCAGTTGATGAGTATCTTTTTATTGACCGGCAGAGCTAAATGTGTCAACTGACTCCACTGAAAAGGATTGCATGTGATTTAAGGGATATGACAATCCTATATCCATAGCCTAGGGATGCTTGAGAAAAGCAGTATTTGCAAATTCTGACACGAACTGATCTGATCTGCAACTCCCAGTCTAACATACAGCTCTCGGAACTTAGGCTGCAATCCTAACTCTACCTGCCTGACTTGAATAGGATTTACTTCTGAGTAAGTAAGGTTAGGATTGGGCTGTTAGGCTACCCACCAGCTTTCGCACTTCCCAAATATACTGATGCAGTTCTTAGCTCCAAAAAAGGTCACAAAATAGCTTTTTAAAATGTGTGCTCCGAGAGCAAATATATTCAGAAATGCATACTTTCAGAGAAAATGCATTTAAAATACAGGGCAACCTCAGAGGAGAACCCACTGAAATCAATGGGCATAACTAACTTAAATGATTTGATTTCAATAAGCATACCCTGAGTTTGACCTTGTTGGATACAGAGCACATACTTTAATATGTATTTAAATGTGGATTTCCACCCCCCCAAAAAAGGACCGCATGATTAATGCAGAACAAAATGGAATTATGGGTGAATGCATGCAAAAATGACATGGGACGGAAACAGACTCGTTCACCTGTCCTTTCCTCAGTGTTGTCACAAGTCATCACTAGATACTGTAGCCCCAGAACAATGAACACCTATGTGAGAATCAGGCTCTAGTCCCAACATCTGTTTCATGATGTTACATCTTTCACTGGCCTATATTCCTTACCCCCATAAAGGATGGGCACCCATAATAATTTCCACTCTCGACAAACCTAACTGAGGCATTCCAGATATGCCCCTGACACCTTCACAAGATCTCAGAAAAGCTGCCCTAGCCAACTTCAGTATGACAGACAGCACAACTGGCTGACTGAAGTGTGATCAGGCCATTTTATTTTATCCCCCGCCCCCCACCCCAGAATGACAAAGACATTACACAGAGGCCCCGGGAGAATAACCTATTATTCCATTAGGCAGATGGACGAGGTCAGAAGTCAAAAATACATTTCAGTGTGCCTTGTTATAGAAGGATTTACTTTGCTGTTTATATAGGCTGCGGTTTGCTTTTGTTGGTAAGTCTACCATTCATTAATTTGAGGGCTTTGATGCCACAGCTGTACATGTTTTTTTGTTTTTGTTTTTTAAAAGAAGTCACCGGCATTGGTTGGAGTCGTGTTTAAAAAATAAGGGACTAGGTCAGGGAGTCCAAGCGTTCCTGTTCACTTATGCAAGCTGCATTTCACTCTCCCAAGTTCAGGGCGCAGGATGCTTTGAAATGCAATCGTCACATGCACTCACATCGCTTCAGCGCCTGAGGTTTGTAACTGCTTCCCAGGAGGGAAAATATCTCTCCACTGTCTGGTTTAATAACCAGATGAGACTCCTATTCAAGGCTCTTTCTGAAGCAGCAACAGCTTTGCTTCAATGCTAGGCAGGCTGCTGGCTCTGCGCCAACTCCCTTTCTCAACCTCATCACCAAGGTTATTTCCTGACAGAGCCACAATCCATGGACTACATTAGGAAGAGCGGATTTATTGTTTTCATTATTATTATCATTGCTTTTTTTCCTGTACACCAACTTTGAAACCTGGAACATGTTGTCTGATGCAAATCATATACTATAGCAGACTAAAGGACAAAACACCAAGCTGTGCACCCTTATAGCTTATTCAACAGAAAGAGACATGTGTAGTAATGAAAACTGGTAATTTCATTTCTTAATTTGTTTTGCCTATAGCTGACAGTGTTCTTAGCTACTATTACAGCGTTTTGTGAATTCTGGTGACAGTAGCCATTCAGAAACTAACCCAAACCAATTCGACTTAGCATCTCCTTGTTTTTAAGACACTCCACAATTCTGGAAGAAAGAGGCATAGGACAAAAGCATGTCCCTTTATTCCAAATGTCTCTGCTCTGAGCAGTCTGAAATTTATACTGTTCTGTTCCATGTGGAATACTTGTATGTGTTTTTATAACTATGATGGGCTTGCTACACACACACACACACACACACACACACACACACACACACACACATATTTTATTGCCCGGACCTTATGGTGAAGGATGGGCAAAAGATTCTATAAATAAATAACCAAATAAATGGGCTAGGGGGGAACTATGCTAGTTTATCTTCACAAATGATACAAGTTGTTGAAGACAGGGTTGTCTTCTAGTTGAAAAATTATGATTTCTTGTGCTTCCTGGTTAATTTACACCAAAATTTGATTACATTTAGGAAAGCACTTTCTGGCTGTGCAGCAATCGTTTCCTAAGCAATGACATTTGCTCAGGAGGTATTGTGACTCAGCCTCTACCTTTTAGGCAGAATTTGACCCAGAGGTTCTAACTGGAGAAGGCCTTTTCTTTTCTGTTTCCCCCTTCCCACCCTCACGTGCCCCTCAAAGTATTTTTACCCATTTTTACCATTCTCCTTTCACATTCATCTTGTACCTTATCCCACCACCTCTCAAACTGGCTGTTTCTTTCATCCCTCCCCAACCGCACCTACCCCTGCACCCTGGTCCTTTTACATTAATTTCCTCCTGTTCTAACAGCTTACATCTCTTATCCCCTTCCTTTCTGTAGCCAAGCAAGTGAAGAGGCACTGGGGAAGGTTATACCAATGAGGCCCATCTAAAAGTGGCCCAAAGCCACTTTGAGAAACACTACTCTAGATCAATGCTCTTCAACTTGGGTGCCCAAATGTTGTTAGACTACAACCCCGATCAGCCCAAATCATTGACTAAACAGGTTGCGGAAGATATGAACTGACTCTAGATTATTTGCAGTCATTGCAACGAAACCTGTGCTTGACTGTGGGTCCCAAGCTTAAGAATATTCTTCCTCCCGCCCCCTCAAATGTGTGTGCTATAAAACATCAATTTTACTCTCCAACCATCAAAACCAACCAATTTAAAGTGAGCCTTTTTCTTTGCTACTCCCAGGCAAATCCTCATCTTTACAAAATATCAGCATAATCATAAGCAAACTCTTGCCTAGAGTAGGCATGCTATTTCTGCACCCAGCAGCTGTCAATATCACAAACTAAACTGTTTGCAACATTTAGTTTCCATCTTCAGCTATAAGGAAAGAGTAATTTGTTTCACAGAGCACTCTTTTTTTAAAAAAGTGAATATAGTACTTTGTTTCGCAAAGCAACCTGAAAACACAGCTGCCGTGAAAAGCGACGTTATTGAAGACATAGACCACAATAGTGCCTTCCATTGCATTGTTCTGAATTCTACTAGCATACAGAAATTGTCTAATGATTTGTTCATGTTATCTGCCACTGCACTAATAGCCAGTGCTTAGTATTTATAAAGAATCTATGAATCTTCAAGCTGACCTAGAATGCACATACCAGATACTTAAGCAATGCTGGCTGCACATACAGTCGCCAGCCCTGCCATGTGCAATGCACTGTCAAAAGACAAAGATGATTAGCAGTATTTTATTTAGCAGTTTATATCCCACATTTCCAATAAAACACACTTTAAAAACTCAGTAAAATCTCACATAAAAATCTACCAGGTTAAAAAAAAAAATCACCTTACTCAGATGCCCAGTCAAAGATTTTTCCACATCTCAATGTCTCTCTAAGGGAGTGTACACATTGAATAATAATGTGCAGTCAGCATTGGATGCAAGCGCCTTTTGGATGTGCTAAACACACAGCATCATCCCCATGTAGTCCTTGTCCCACACTATTTTGTCATTGTGCTAGAACAGTTTTAACCCATTTTGTGCGGAGAATGCCCTTCTCAAGCACTTGCTGAATACATGTCTATGCAGAAAATGCATCCTCAGGTCACTTCCTATTAGGGCAAGCCTACTGACATTATAGGACCCCTGGACAGTTAAGTCCAGTCAAAGGCGACTATGGGGTAGCGGCACTCATCTCGCATTTACACTGAGGGAGCCAGCGTTCATCCACAGACAGCATTCCAGGTCATGTGGCCAGCATGACTAAACTGATTCTGGTGCAACAGGACACCATGACGGAAACCAGAGCACACGGGAATGCCGTTTACCTTCCCACCACAGCAGTACCTATTTATTTACTTGCACTGGCGTGCTTTCAAACTGCTAGGTTGGCAAGATCTGGGACAGAGCAACAGGAGCTCATCCCATCGTGGGGATTCGAACCACCGACCTTCTGATCGGCAAGCCCAAGAGGCTCAGTGGTTTAGACCACAGCGCCCTATGTACAAGAACACACAGTGGAAAAAATGACCCCTGTGCATTTCAGTGGCTATGTGTGTACACAGCCCTACTCACACCCTTACAGCCATAACAAGAAACCTCCTTTCCTCTCCTTGGGAGGCCCTTCATATTCCATAACCAAGCTAAACCCATGTGCTTTTTGGAAACTTTTCCCTTCCTTTCTCCCCTAAAATTCCCCCTTGTGGGTTCCCACTGCTCACCAGAGAACTCTGATCACAAACTCATGGACACACTCAATCTCTCTGGAACATAAGAATTGCTTTATACCAAATCAGACCATTGGTTCATCTAGTACTATTGTTCATCTAGTACATCTGTCAGTGACTTTCTGGGATTTCAGACCAGCCTTTCCCAGCCCCACCTAGGATTAAACCTTGGGGTTTAAACCTTGGACCAAATCATGTGCTCGATCTGTGAGTTATCCACACCCCCTTTGTGGGGATATTTCTTCCCTTTCTTATGCCACCATTTGGGGAACCATTAGAATCAATGCTGAATCTTTTTTAGCTTCACACTGAAATGTATTTCTCTCTGCCCAATTATTCCTGCTGTTCAAGTGTTCTAATAAGCAGAGAGAAGGAATCTAAGATTTCAGAATAGGCAGCAGAAGAGTAGGATTATAATGATTGACCTACATTGGTATTCTTAGATTATTCAGAGCCAACTACATTAACACAACTGCTATCTTTACTATAATGGGGCAACAGCAGAAACTGTATGATAATCCCAAAGCACACCCACCCTATTCTCTTATAAATGTGATGATTACTAGCTTGTGCAACAATGGGTTACACTATTTTATACATGTCCTGTTTGTTCTCTTATTTATATTTTGATAAATTTGTAGTCTGCTTTTCTATACAGAATATTCAAAGCAGCCTACAGACTACAACAAGACAATATTAAACAAAAACAATGTAAATGATTGATCATTACATAAAGCATTAAAAATAAGAAGCACATCCAGATCAAGCTGTCTTTAAAGCCACCAGCTGGGTGCTGTATTTCAGCTGGATGCCTTTTGAAATAAATAGGTCATTTGCCCTGAGAAAGTCAAGCAATGATGGAGTCAGGTGGATCTCTCCCGGGAGGGCATTCCATAAGCTAAGGCCCTGTTCCTCATTGTTGACTGCTATGTATCTGAAGACAATTGGATACAGACCAGATCTTAATGCCCAGGCTGGTTCATATGACCAAAGACATTTCTTCAAGTATCCTGTAAGTTTCTCAAGATCCTGGCCAATTTAGGTCTAGTTCAGCCATATGGTTCCACAGCAAAGTCATTCACCTGATCAGGGCCAGTTTCAACACACCCAGCACCATGCAAAAGACCTGAAATGTGTGGTGCTGCATAAGTGCATATTACCATGGGGCCAAACCAGTCTATTGCCCACTGAAGAATGCAGGCATTACTCAGTAAGTATAGTAAACAAAGGGGACAAAAGCATAGAACATCATTTGAACATTTTAATCTACAGAGCTTCACTCTCCAGGTTTATTACTTACGGGTGAAATGATTTGAAGTGGATGGGTTGACACTATCACCACTGTCAGCGCTTTCACTGCTAGAAACGTCATCATCCGATTCCCGCACCGAAGAGCAGGGTGAAGAGCCATCAACTTCTTCAAACTTCCTCTTTAAAATTCCACTCATAGCTGCAGCACTGTCACATGTACCTGCAAGAGGAACAGGTGCAATGAAGCAAGGAAACATTTGACTGCAGACCAGGCAATCAAGGTCTTTAAAGTCATTCTGAGATGGGTTTTCTCATACTAGAGATGCTCAAGCTTCTCATGAATAAGTTCCAGTGAGGGAGGGGGGCAGGGAGAAGAACAGACAGAAGTGTCAACATTTGAGGCAAGAGAATTTCCTAGGTTCCCTCCTTTGTCTTATTAAGGAGTTTAAGAAAACCCTAACATCTAAATAATCACTGTAACAAGTAACACTGCTTTTCATAGAAAAACTGAAAATTTAAATCCATGTATCCAACTAATTGGTAATGCTAATAAAGTTGCCGCTGAATGTTCCAAAACTAGACCTCATACAAAACTGATCTGATGGGAGAAAGTCCTACAGTTTCCCTTTTTGTCTCACATTTCAGGTTTCAATAAATCTTGTACGAAAGGATGTAGAAGGCGGCGGCGGCAGTGGCGGGGGGGGAGTCTCCTCTTCCCGGCTGGGTATGGTGACACAAAACAAGGTGTGCGGTGAAATTTTCCATACAGGGACAGTTAGGGACAGAGGCAGCAGCTTGCAAGGGTGATTGGAGGGGGGGCATGTCACAAGTGTGAGCATCACATCTCCCTCCCTAAGCTCGGCAGAAGCTTCCCAGGCTTCGGGAAGGAGGCACCAGGCTTTAATACTCCAATTTACCAGGAACATTTAGGGGACTAGCCTAGGCCCCTAGTCCACTGACCGCACACCACTGAACACAGGAAGTGCTGTTTCAAAAGGCAGGTATGTTGCTGAGGCAGTGTTTGGCATGCACTAAACAACACTCCTCCTGGTACATGCGTGAGAAGGGGATTCAGCATGACATCACAAGTCCAAGATCTCCATAGCAGAATGGACTTTGCTAAAGGGCAAACCAGATTTTGCTACAAGGCCTAAAAACCTTGTTGCATGATGCCAATCTTCCTGAAGAGTATTGGGCTGAATCTCTGAATTGTTTTGTTTATTCTTATAATCGCAGGTATTCTGCACCAATAGGCTGTACTCCCTATGAGAAGATGTTTGGTAAGAAACCATATGTCAAGCACATGAGAATCTTTGATTCTGACATGTGGGTCCATACTCCACAGAGCAGCAAGTTCAGAAAGCATGGTGTACATGGCATATTTGTGGGGTACGAAAAAGGTGCATACAGAGTGCTGATGACTGACACAAATACGGTATGGTTTACCAGGAGTGTTCAGTACAATGCAAAGTGGGGGGGACTATGTGTGGATTTTCCAGAGTCACCCTGAAGCTGAAGAAGCAGAGGAAGCTGAGGATGATGATCAGGGTTCGGATTCCAGTTCAGTGGGAGGTGCTAGTGCTGCTGACAGTGACACAGCAGACTACAGGAGCGTGAAGGCCTCACTCAGACCATCTGACGGGTCTGACACTGAACTGGAAGAACCACTGTTTTCCATTGGCCACCATTCTCCTAAGAAAGAGGAGATGAGTGAAGACTTGCATCTAGTACGCAGATCTGAAAGGGCCACAAAGGGCAAACCTCCAAAGAGGTATGCTGATGAGTTTGTTAAAACAGCAACAGCTGTTGTTAGTAGCTCAGAGAAGGTGTGGGAACCTTCAAGCTTCCAAGAGATCCAGGAGTTAACCTCAAAGGATGTTGAACCATGGCTTAAAGCCATGAAGGCTGAACTTGATTCCTTAGAAAGGAACAAGACCTGGGAGCTGGTTCCAATAGTCACAGGGATGAAGCTGGCTGACAGCAAGTGGGTCTTTAAGGCAAGGAATGGCAAGGTAGTAAGACACAAAGCCAGATTGGTCACCAGGTTTTTCACAGGTACCAGGACAGGACTACCAAGAGACCTACTCACCCACCGTCAAGTATGAGAGCATTAGGCTTATGCTCAAGATTGCTGCAGAAGAAGAGCTTCACGTTTCACATCACAATGTGAACACAGCTTTTTTGTACGGGGTGCTAGGGGAGGAGATTTATATGCTTCCACTTGATGAAGTGCAGGTACAGAAGGGAATGGTCTGTAAACTACGGAAATCCCTATATGGTCTCAAACAGAGTGCCAGGTGTTGGAACACAAAACTAACAGAGACATTGTTTTCTCTAGGTTTTCACCAAGGCAAAGCTGATCCATGTGTGTTTGTCAAAGAGGAGGGGCAAAACAAACTGTATTGTGTATGCTTTGTTGATGATCTTCTTTTCTTTTGGAAGCATCAGGCTTTGTACCAAAGCACCCTAGCTCAGCTGCGAGAGCACTTTGACATGAAGGATCTTGGTGAGGTATCTGGAAGTAGAGAAAAACCAGGCAGGTGATTTTTTCGTACACCAGTCTCAGAAAATTGCTGATGTATTGACCAGGCTGAATTTGGTTGATGCAAATCCTGTGGATACACCAACGGTAACAGATTTCCAGTTAGGTGATACTGGTGAAGCATTTTCTGACACTACATTGTACAGATGCATTCTAGGCAAACTGAATTTCATTGCCAGATGTTCAAGACCTGATATAGCTGTGAGCACTAATCTGCTTAGCAGACACACCAACAATCCTACTGTTCAGGATTGGAAAGCTCTGAAGCGCACAGCACACTATCTAAAAGGTACTATGCACTACAGACTCAGATTCACTAGTCAGGGATCTGGAGGTCTTGAGATATTTGCAGATGAAAGTTTTAGAAGTGACACCACAGTTGGCACAAGCACTTATGGGGTGTGCTACATGTACAACCAGAGTCTGTTTGACTGGCTGTGCAAGAAGCAGGCAACAGTGAGCCTGACTTCTTGTGAAGCTGAACTCAATGCCCTGTCATATTCACTTATGGATTGTGAATGGTTGTTGCAACTGTTTAAGGATGTCAGGGTTAATATGAAATGTCCTACACAGTTGTATCAAGACAACAGGTCCTGTTTGGCTTTGCTAGCGTCAGAGAGTTGAAAGAAAAGAACCAAGTACTTGCAGATAAAGTTACATCGTGCAAGGGAGTGTCTTTGGAAAGGACTCATTCAGGTGTCCTACATGCCAGGAAACGAGATTCCTGCAGATCTGTTGTCTAAAGTTGTTAACAGAGAACAACTTCAGTTATATGTACAGCAGTTGCAGTTGAGTTGAAATACTGTGCCACAGGTTACATGGAAAGGGGGAGGATGTTGAGAATTTCTTAAGGAGCAGACATGGGATTGTTAAGTGTCACATGTCTGTTTACATTCTAGCACAGTCTGCTGGGAACTTCCGTCTGTTTGTATAGCTTTTGCTTTGTCTCTCTGAGAAGAAAGGGAGACAACATGTTTTCTTTGTCCTGATTTATGCTTAATAAATCTTTAGCTGTTAGTATGTTTTCACAAGCCTCACGCCTGTTCTGTTTGCATAGTATGCTCTGCTAATATAGCGTGCTCAGGCTTTTGAAGTCGAGTCGCTGATTTACGTCACACCAGAGATCTGGGGATCGTCACGGCTGGAAGGGCATGATCCAGCTGGGGGCTAGCCAGCTGGCATCTCGACCCCCGAATGATGCCGACAAATGGGAGGAGCAAGCTCCTCCCATAGCCTAGCTCTCTGTCTGTTTCTCAAAAAACTTTCTCCCAGGCAGCTCCATTAACAGAAGAGAACTGGCCCAGGGAGGAAAATGCTGCACTTTGTCATTTTGCAGATGTCACTACTCCCACTGGCAACACTTTGCTGAGAGAGCAAATCAGTAAGAACTAGGAGGCAGCAGGTTCTTCAATGGGTGGCAGATTTTAGCCAGGGCTCCAAACTTGGAACCACTTCCATTGACTCCATCCCTCAATTTTCCACCTCAGACAGAAGTCTCTCTACCTCCTCATAAGACCACTTTTGCAACCTACACTCCAAGTCCAGTGATGTGAGTTTTCCAGATTTTTTTTGAACCAGGAGAACTTCTGGGAAATTATCTGCTGCTGCATAAAAGATTGGGATCTGATTTAGTATGCTTGACTTTTATTTGGTAAAGAAAACCCTCCATGTTTATGTTTTACATTGTGTGTGTGTGTGTGTGTGTGTGTGTGTGTGTGTTGTATTCTACATTTTCCAGTGACAATAAGAAGTTGAAGTGAAAGTGTTGACTGGGGGGAGAGGGGCATTCAAGAAATGTTACTTTCAAACAAATTCATTTCTGAATATTTTTAATTTTTGAAAATTCATTTTTATTGCAACTTTTCAGCATAAAATACAATGAAAACAAATAAATCTAAATAAAAAAGAATATCATAAAAGGAAAAAAGAAAGAGAAAAAAAATACAAAGCCCTCTATCAGAGGTAGATCTTAACCCTTGTTTCACACAAAAGGGTGTGGATCGTTCCAGCTCTCACCTGGGAGCTTCCCTTTCTTCTCCCGGCCTCCCACCCTGGGAGAACTTCCCTTCCCTGCCTCTGACCCAGGGTCTATCACCTTCCCGTGCACACCTTCCTTAATCCAAGATATAAAAATTTTACTGGAGTACTCATAAATGCTTCTAAGATCTGATAACTCAACAGAATACACTTCTTTCATATTGTTAAAAATAATAATCATGAAGACCTTGAAAACTGTTAAACCTGCAAAAATGGATAGAATAACAGATGTGACTTTGATAGGCGACATTCCAGTCACATAAAAGCCAGAGGTTTCAACCCATGTAGATAGTCCTCTATCCAAGCAAGCAAGAGGTACAATCACAATTCAGACACATTCCAGCCAGGAAAAGTGATTGAGGGGGTGGAACGGGGCTGGTGGGGTGTGTACTCTGAGGGAAGGGTATCCCAAGGGCCAGACGGAGAGACATGGAGGTCCCCAGGCCTACGTTCCCACACCAATATCCTAAAGGTTGTCACCTAGAAAAATATATTTGCAACTCTAGGCAATTGTGATTGATATTGTAGCCATTCATTATGCACTTAAAACAATTTTATGAAACAATCAATTTTTAGAAATGGGGTGTGTGTGTCCCGAAAACATTTCCATCCTGGAATGTTTTTCCACCCCACATCTCTGCCCACAACACTGCAGTCTGCTCAGTCTCTAGCTGCCTTATGAGTTGTGGGCACTGATGGGCAGCAGGAGAACCAACAAACACAGGCTGTACTATCTGTTCATGGGAATGTGTCCTCAGTGCTCATTTGTAAAGCACTTTGCAAATATCCATTAATTTGTCATATCATACAGTTCCATGAAAAACAAGGGGAGAATTTCAAAATCATTCTGCCAGGGCAAGGTTTTTGCCCTCCCTCCTCTTTCTACATTGTTCTGGGGGATTCTCCCAACTTCCCAGATTCTACAGAGCAGGGGAAGGGAAATTCTGTTGCACAAGCAGAAGTCCTTGCTCAGGGCTTCTGCTGATAGGACTCATTACTTAAATCTTACCCAATGAAGTTCATCTTTCCATGCTGTGGGGGCATTTAAAATCTCACAGAGGTATTGCAACTACAAATCAAATCAATGACAGGCCAAGAAGACGAATGCAGAAATTGCTAAGGAATATATATGGCTTGCAAAAATATTTCTCTACCCCTAGAAATGCAAATGCTCAAATAGTCTTTTGAAAAGGCTTTGGGTGATGAGTTAGAAGATACGCTTAGAAATAAAAGAGAGAGGAAATATAGGGTAGGGTTAAATTAATATCTTCAGTGAAAGGATGTGCTTAATTCAACACTTGGCAATTCTGATACAATCCCATTTTATAAGTTGTTATTATCATCACATAAACCAGTTACTATGCAGTACCATCTATTCCTCCCAGCAAATTGCCTGGGAATCTCTGACTTGATCCACTTACCTAACAAGTCAATGTGCAGCCTTGCCAATGTTGTTCTGTGTTCACAGTGCACCATATATGGACAAACCTTCTGGTTGAAAATTCTAAGTGAAAAGTTAGCCCCGCCCACATTGGGCAACATTATGACCTCACAACATGGTGGGCACAAGCTATAACTAGGTAAGCAATATGCATTCTCAAGTAGAACCTTTTATATCCTCAAACTGGCCAATTTCCCACTATATTGCTTATAAATATGATGGTGCATTTTCATAGGCTTCATTATCTCTACCTAGCAAGAACTGAGCACCAGTCAAATGAATGTGAGGGAAGGGGAACCAAAACATCGTATCATATTTCTTGAAGACAGAATACTATTTCTCGAAAACTTAAATCTGAGTTGTCTAGTCACTGGGGTCACACTAATTCAATTGCAGTTTGACTTTGTCTATGAATGGCTTTGGTCTCAACCTTGAATAAGCATGCGATGGTATGTATACATTATCTGAATACATTTCCATACATAATACATTTTATTTTACAGCTCTCTGAAAACCTTTGCCTGAAAAGAAAGCTGTGTGGCTTGAATGATTGCTGCTTTGAACAAGTAGCTTTAGTTCAATAAAATGAAAATGCTTCCTTAACTTACTCAACACAGAATGTAATTCCCAAATCTTGCTTTCATTTTGTAAACTTGAAAATCATTACTGAGGATCACAGAATTGGGAGTTTGTGAAAATGAGGGATCATCAGGTCACTTCTGTACAAAGGCAGAAAACACTGCACATTGACCACCTAAAGATTAACCCTCATAATCCAGAGCCAATGAGGTGTGACACAGGTAGAAAGACTCCGCACGCAGCAGACTGCCTAAAAGACAACTGGGGTGTTATTGTTTTATTTTGAAGATAGGACCAATTGAGACGTTAACGGTCATGGCCAGCACTGTGAATTATACTCAGAAATGAACTGGCAATAAGTGCAGTGTGATAAAAATGTGAGTCATGTGTTCAAAGGGGGTGAGGACTAGTTCTGGTCAAGAGTCTTGGCAATGCCTGATCAGCTTCCTCCAGAAACAATGTCATCAAAAGTGGGGAAACTTGTCTATCATTTGCTACAGAAGTAAGACAGCCAGGTGGGAGAGGTGGCAAGGCGAAACTGCAGAATAACTATAATGCCCCACCCCCCCAGTTCACCTTTTCCTTGCCGTTTGCAGGTATAATTAACAATGGATGTCATCAGCTTATAAGCAGAGAACCCTGGACTCAGCTGACAAGAGTGTAAATGCAGGTAGAAATCCTTTCAATGTTGGCACTTCTGTTGTCATGAATACGCTATCAAATGAACAAAAATTGTACCATCGAAAGCTCTATGAAAGGCAGGGGATGGCGTGACACTGATAAACTTATCCTTCTGGAATCCCAGAAACTTGCTGTAAGCAACACAATGAGGTTAGACCTGCTGCTCAGCTTCGCCTTGGCGTTAGTGCTTATTACCTTGTGCTTGAGGAAAATATGGCCACAGCATATGTAAGCTGTGTGGACTGATCAACACTGTGAACCTATAGTCTGGGCTGGTTCATATGTCACCCTAGACCAAACAATGGCTTCATATGAATGAGCAAGTAATGTGCACTCAGGTCCCACTTTCCAAACGCATGCTATGTGAAAATTCACTTATCCATCCACGAGGAATTAGTACCCAAATCTCACTGTACACACCACAGATTCAGATACGCAAGCAGCCAGAGTTTGTCCATTTCCTTACTTGTTTGTGCTTTGCTGGTTGGCAACAGCCATTTTCAGGCAGAAACCGGGGAGGGAGGGAGGGAGGGAGGGAGGAGGGGGTCAGGGAGCAGGAGAAATCAGACAAGTCAGTTTTTCCTTTGCCTCTCCTTTTCTGGTTGGCTGCAGAAACCATGGAGGGAGAAGGGAGGGAAATGAGACAAACCATGGATTAGAAATGTTCCCATAAAAAAGAATGGAAATTATAGGCTCGTTATGCGAACCTTCGCCTAATGAATGATTTCCAGTGAATGCATTGTGTTTGGAAAGTGTGAACTGCATGCAGGCTCCCAGGGATGAGATCACGTCTGCTTTGCTCCTCCTGGCCACTTTGCTGCTCCACCACGCTGAGCTAAACCATGGTTTGGGCCAAGCATGTTGTCCAAATCTGGACTCGTGGTTTAGCTCCCTCCAGATAAACCACAAGCTCTTTCTGTATTCTTATCATAAAGGGTTGCCTCACAACAGGCCTACAATAACAAACCTAAATCCCTAGAGTAATGCATTTTGACCACAAGCAGTAATTTCTGTCCTTTAGAATGATTTTTGGATAATTCAGTATACTGTGAGACTGGAATACATCTAATCTTTTAAACATCCAGCTAAGCAATGGCAATTTGGCTCCTGAAACACTACACAGCATATGGTAAATGATGAAAAGGGGAGAGGTGAGTCTTTTGTGACTGTATATCTTCATATTAGCTGTTTTATTTTATGTTTGGATTTGAGATTACTGGTACTGTCAGTTTGGATTTCTTTATTGATTTATTATATTATTGTATGCTGTTCATTACTAGCTGCTGCAATTTTGCAGGGGGGGGGGGCGGAGTGTAATGTCCCTTCGCTAAATGCTGCATCTTTTCCTTCTAATATTTTGCAGAACAATTATAGCACATTATAAGCTGATAATGATGTTCCGTATAGAACATGCATATGAGCTCTGGCATTTTAAAAATCCATTCCACATTTTAAAAGATAATAGCCCAAACGCCTACTCATCCCTGTAATTGTCCCTACCATCTATGGAAGTCAAAACCCAATGGGTTTAAATATGTGACTCTGAAATATTACTATTCAGGTCTTCTTATATTTACATAAGTTTATTAAGACTATATACTGTGAAGAAAACCAAACATCTAAGAACTACTATTTCTCTTCTTCTGACATAAACAATGGACTTGCTGTAATAGTATGTGAGTGGGTGTCTGTCAGTACCATCTATAACTAGTTTTTAGTCTTTTTCATAGACTAGAATGGGGGTGGCTTAAACACTTACATTTAACATAAAATCACTGCTGGATGATCACTTCAAGGATCCATCTATTCCAGGATTCTGTTGCCAACCAAATGTCTTCAGTAAGTCCCAACATGGCACACAAAGGCAGTGGCCAACATCCCTCCTCTGTTGCCTGTCCCCAGTATTCAGAAATGCTATCATATTATGATTCTATTTCTTAATTGATTACTACATAAAATGTCTCAAAGCAGCTTACAATTTAAAAAAAAACCCAAACCAAACCAAAATGTGCACATACATGAATTTAAAACAAACAACAAAAGAAATAAAATGGCATTAGGAAAAGTGGCTATCCTACCCCCTCAACCTACTAAAAGATGAACACCAAAACAGGCAGGGTCACACCATCATACCACATGATTCCAACTAAGAATCAAATGGCCAGGTAAAAAGGAATATGTGTTGGCCTGGCACCAAAAAGGTGGTACCAATGGCACAAGGCATTCCTCCCTGGGGAAAGCTTTCCACGGTGGGGAAGTACAATGCCTCTGCAGAGGCACAGTTCCCGGGTTCCAATTCACGACCCATGCAGCCTACCTAGGGAGACTAGAAGCACTGCCAAAGAAAGAAGGAGATATCAAGTAAAATCTTTTAACAGCACAACAACGCTGATTGACAGAAGGGGTTCTACAAAACAAAGCCTAATGAATCATATAGTTTCAGAATTAAAGGTAAAGGTAAAGGGACCCCTGACCATTAGGTCCAGTCGTGACTGACTCTGGGGTTGCGGCACTCATCTCGCTTTATTGGCCAATGGAGCCAGCGTACAGCTTCTGGGTCATGTGGCCAGCATGACTAAGCTGCTTCTGGTGAACCAGAGCAGCGCACGGAAATGCTGTTTACCTTGCCGCTGCAGCGGTACCTATTTATCTACTTGCACTTTGATGTGCTTTCCAACTGCTAGGTTGGCAGGAGCAGGGACCGAGTAACGGGAGCTCACCCCGTCGCGGGGATTCGAACCGCTGACCTTCTGATCGGCAAGTCCTAGGCTCTGTGGTTTAACCCACAGCGCCACCCGTGTCCCTCAGTTTCAGAATTACTGATTGATAAATTACATTTATACCTTAACAACAAAAAGAAGAGCTTTTATACATAAGATCACATACGTTCAATGTCTTTTAGCTTAATTCCCTAACACATGGGTAGGCAAACTAAGGCCCGGGGGCCGGATCTGGCCCAATCACCTTCTAAATCCGGCCCTTGGATGGTCCGGGAATCAGCATGTTTTTACATAAGTAGAATGTGTCCTTTTATTTAAAATGCATCTCTGGGTTATTTGTGGGGCATAGGAATTCGTTCTTCTTTTTCCAAAATATAGTCCAGCCCCCCACAAGGTCTGAGGGACAGTGGACCAGCCCCCTGCTGAAAAAGTTTGCTGACCCCTCCCTAACATCTCCAAAAAGGGAGTAAAGACTTATAATTTAATATGTAATGTGTAAGCAACTTATTACCAAGCCCATAATTGGGGGGAAATTAACTGCTATCTGACCAACCACGAAATTCAAACATAACCCAAGATAAAAAAATATATTTTTAAAAAAAGAAGATTTAGTTCTGACAAGTTAAGGCTGAACATTGCGAGCTAAAGGCCTAGAAAGTAGTGCAACCTTTTACAAACTTGATTTAAATCACCTTTCAAAACTTGCTACTTCAAAGCTTGGAGCGGGGAGAACACTGGTGGGAATGAGGGAAGAGGCCGAAGAGAGGAGGGGATTCAGAGGAAGGAAGACAAAGGAAGGCTAAAAGTCAAGCCAAGGGTAAAGGTATAAATTAGCAGTGCCTCTGGCAAGAATCAATTAGTGCTGGACAATTCAGCCTTTACAATATTCTTTCATTGTCTGCTTTCCTTCCTGGTTACAGATACATGATGTATCCCATTCAGCAAAAATCTCCCCTCTACATTTTTACGCCCAGCAGGGCTTTTAAGCAGTTATTGTAAGTGATGATCTCTGGTAAATATCACAGATAATACTTATATAGGAGTAGGTATACAGAATTAACTTTCTGGCCAATCACATTCTTTGTGTGAATGAATGGTTTCAGAGGCCCAGCTCCTAGGAAGGAACCACTGACTGAGTTTTTTTGCATCTGCAGCCACCTTGACCCAACAGGAAAAATCTGGAAACAGTGTCTCTGGGCACATCTTTTGTCCGTGGAAATGCTACAGCAAGCTCTACCACAACTGCGTAAACCCTCATATCTTAAGGCCCCACCAGGAGAGGAAGCAGAGGATATCTGCAATGGCACCAAAGCAGTCATTTCATATGATGGAAAGAGCCTAGAATACTACTATCCTGTCTGGCCACTAGATATATGTGTGCCATTCATCTCATTCATTGACAATTGGTGTTCATTTTGTTTCATCAGGTAAAAGGGAAAGTTCCGCCCCCTCTCAGATGTCAGAAGCACAGGTTGACAACTCACCCCATTAATCATTAGACTGAGGCACCTACATATAAGCTGAATTAGGGCCTCTTCAAAAACCATTTCACCCCTCGCTTCTAGACATGATGAAATCAGAAATGGGCCATAGGTTCCTGCACTTCTTTCCTACTCCCCTTGAGAATGAGCAGAAGGGATTGTCTGAATTAGTGGATCCTAGGCTACATCCAGACCAGTTAGCCACACTAAAGTCCCACTGGAATCAATAGGGCAAGGGAGTTATTACTAGGGAATCTTGTGAATTCCAAGAGGAAGTGGCCTGATTTCTACCTCTTGTGCTAATGTGCACATAATAATAATAATAATAATAATTATTATTATTATTATTATTATTTTTACCCTGCCCTCCCCAACCAAGGCCGGGCTCAGGGCACCGGAGTACATCAGAAGCTATTCACTGGTTTTGAAATATCCCAAAGACTCCAATACAGTCTCTAATAATAAAAAAGTATCAAAGTGCATTAAAATACATATTTTAAGACAAAATGCGTCTAAAATGCATATTTATATTTAAATCTGATTTTTGTGATTTATTTATTTTTAATGTAGAAATGGAGCAGACTACATTTATGAGTGAACCCATGAAGAAGTGGCATGGACTAGAGAATGGATTGCTTTGCCCATGCCTAGTCACACCTAGCTTTCAGATTACTTTCAAAGGGATCAAAGTACAGTTAACCTGGTCTGAATCCAAACCACCACCATGACTATTTGAACATGTGATCTCTCTCGATCCTGGATATAAAACCAGTTTATACAGAGTCAAGAAATTATTTTTTAAAAAAAAACCAGACGTTTTGATACTTCTGTAAACCTTGGAAGTTTCTTTGGGTAAAGGTGAAAGAGAAAGGAGATTTGCCCATTTAATATTCTGTACGCTGCTCTTTTTCAAAATCTCTCTCTCTGTGCAGGGAATCAAAGAAACAACAACAGAAGCTTGCTTGAGGAAGAAGCACAGGATAGGATGGCTCTGAAAAACTCTTAAGGAGAAATTCATGGTTTTAAAAGATTTAAAAAAGAAACCAAGGTCAGATTATTAAAATGGCCATTATTATGCTGCAGCCATTTTAAAGGAGGGTCAGCAAAAACAAGTGCCACTTTATTTCTACTAGATTAAATTTAATCTAGCAAATTATATGAGCTGCATATGTATGATTACGACCAGAACATCATTATTTTGTGTTCTGCTTAGATTCACTCACGTTTTAGAGCCAAGAACTGCTGCATGAATTCCACACACACACACACACCATCTACTGAAATTGTAGGCATTTACACATACACACATAAGTATTGCCTTACCAGTTTCTAGTAGGATGCTTATGATGCCATGTCTCAACTCTATAATTGGTTCAGAGCAAAGACAAAGACTGACAGCTGACAAACAGCAAACCAATTCATCTTTCAGAAAAGCTTTCTTGATCTCACAACAGATTACACCTGTCTCATTCAGTACAATCAGCCATCTGGCCCTTCCTTGGGATGTGTGCTTAAACTTCAAGGTCTGCTTATTATGAGTACCTTTTGAGAGGAGGGCATTGTTATCAACAGCAAATGCATTTATCCCTATCCTCAGGATGAAATCATCTTCTTGTTCAGATGATGTGTTTTTGGGCGGGTAGCAACCTTACAGGGAAGTATTGATTTTTAAATCAAGCATACATTAAAAGGGAAGGGAAAGTGGTATCACCGCACTTTTAACGCTCCTACATATTCTGGACCCTGTCCATTTTGTTTGTGATTAAATGGCTGAGGCGTACTTCAGTTTCGCCCCATCGTAGCCAAACCCTTTTGTTTTAGTCTCGCAACCTTAAAGAGGAGAACTGTTAGTTTTGTGATAACATTAGGGATGCCGTTAAATTGTAATGCTCCCCTTGTTATAGAAAAAGAGCCATTACATTTAAGTATGTGTTTACTGTAAGCATTTAACAAGCTCATATATATTTCATACCAAAATCTATAATGCTTGCTTTACACAAACATGTTAGTGACCACACTGAGCCCCCCTCCCAATTATTTCAGCTTTGTGAAACAGATTCTCTGAATGTTGTGCAATTAACTTTAATGGTGAAATAAATAGCGATATGTGTGTTTCAATAGTCCCTTGGCTGGATGTTCTTGGGAGAGTCAAAATTCATCAAACCCACACACCCATATCCTTCCATGGGTAGAATTAAACTGGTGCCCTGCAATCACGCAAAAACTGTTGATCCAGTGGACATCTCCACTAATAACAGATGAAAAGAGGGGATTGTCCCCTCCTCTGCCCCATCCCAACTGGGTGCAGCAAGTTAAGGGACCCTCCAAAATAGGGTGTAGGGTGACATGGGAGCTGCAAAGAGGAGACAGAATTAGCAAGAAAACAAAACAAAACAAAACACTCAACGACCCATTTCCTCCCAACTAAATCCTGTTCACAGAAGCATCTGCTGGGAGAAAAGCCCTCTGTGAGCACAGGGGCACCACTTGGCTACCAAGCCCGTTTGATGAAAATGTCTTGTTCGCTCAGTCTTGCATGGGCACCAGTAGTGCAGTAGTGTAGCTATTTTCAGATTCTGAAGTTCTTCCTGCCAAATTGCTTTGTTTGATATAAGTTGCTTATTTTAAAGTTATTGTGATGACTTTTTCTATTGGATTAGGCTGTTACTATTAATGCTTGGTGTTTTATTATGTTTTTATATGTGTTGGAAGCAGCCCAGAGTGGCTGGGGCAACCCAGCCAGTTGGGCGGGATATAAATAAGTTGTTGTTGTTGTTGTCATCGTTGTCATAGGAGGGTTCCTGGACTGCTGGCTGCAGTGGCCATGGGAGGGTTTCAACTCAAGGGATAGAGAAGAAGAAGAAGAAGAGTTTGGATTTGATTTCCCGCTTTATCACTGCCTGAAGGAGTCTCAAAGCAGCTAACATTCTCCTTTCCCTTCCTCCCCCACAACAAACACTCTGTGAGGTGAGTGGGGCTGAGAGACTTCAGAGAAGTGTGACTAGCCCAAGGTCACCCAGCAGCTGCATGTGGAGGAGTGGAGATGCGAACCCAGTTCACCAGATTACGAGTCTACCGCTCTTAACCACTACACCACACTGGCTCTCTGGAGTCCCCTGATAAATAACAAATAACAACAGTAACAAAACTAATACATTTAATAATTTACTGATATAAAACAATTTGCCTGATTTTTAATCTGTGTATTTGCATTTTAGAAATACAATTCCTTTTGTTTTAAAAAAAGTAGTCTCAAATAATTATTGAATCTTACATCACAGGAGGATTAAAATGGTGTGTGGACTTCTTACTGAATTAAAAACTGTGTCTGCTCCTATGCACAATGCCAACAAATGTTCCAGAGAGAAGTTTCGAGGACTTTCAAAGAAGTCAAACCATTTCATTAGTGAGAATTCTGTCATCTGTTTCAGAGAACCATAGCTTGACCCCTGGAGCCAGTTTCAGAAAAATGGGGATCTACAGGTTGGTTGGGGGAGGGTGTGCGCGTGATAAAAGCCGAAGTCAGATGAATTCAGAGCGTCTTCAGAATTTGGTGCAAGGGATCATCACTGGTCCTGACTACCTCTGCAGACTGTTCCTCATTTTGAAACCTGCCTCACAATATAGCTATACTTCAGAGCTGCTTCTCCTAAGTTCAGGAGCAGTAGCACTGTGGTGGCTTCTGCAGTCCCAGCGGAGAGAATGGAACTACCTTACAGACCATGACTGCATACATACCACACATTTAAAGGCCATTTAAAGCACCTGACCTCCCCCAAAGAATCTGGGAATTGCCGTTTACTCCTCACAGGACTTCAATTCTCAACACTCTTAACAAACTACAGTCCCCAGGATTCTCTGGGGCAAGCCATGAGCTTTAAATGGATGATGAATACATCGCCTAGCACAGGGATAGGCAACCTAAGGCCCGGGAGCTGGATGCGGCCCAATCGCCTTCTCAATCCGGCCCGCGGACGGTCCGGGAATCAGCGTGTTTTTAAATGAGTAGAATGTGTCTTTTTATTTAAAATACATCTCTGGGTTATTTGTGGGGCATAGGAATTAGTTCATTTTTTTCCCCTTCAAAATATAGTCCGGCCCACCATACGGTCTGAGAGACGGTGGACTGGCCCATGGCTGGAAAAGGTTGCTGACCCTGGCCTAGCATAAGGAGATATTGGAGATTAGACGATGTCCCTGCAAAAAATGTGGGATCAAGCGGGATTCTTTTGCCAATATCTTAAACTTGCATAATTAGGTATTCCATGAGGAGTTTACTTTTAATTAATTCACCCAAAATGGTAACCATCCGCTACTAACAAACCTAAATGGGTCTGCCTTACTTTTATTTTCGGCCTTCAGGCATTAGGGGTAACATCGGTTTCCCAGGGGAACTCAAAATATCTGCTTCTCAGTAACACATTGCATTTAAGCATGGAGATAGGCGCGAAGGTTTAAATTCAGAAACAAATTAGCATGCATGCATGCATAAAATAAATAAATAAATAAATAAACAGAAACAATTTAGCACATCACATAAGAAAAGGTTTATAAGAAAGTCAGGTCCACTTGGACTTCAAAATATAATAGTAAAATGTATCTAGTCAAAAACTAGCTTTCTTTGTCCCATGATGTTCTAAAGGGGCTAGTCATATACATGCTTTAGTCACCCAGTTTCTAAATGTCTGTGTTCAGGTCATTTGAAAGTTATCCAAGATGGCTATCACCACTTGGATTTGAGGCCACCCTCAACTCAGAGCCACTTCCTTCAAGCCAGAGCTATTTTTCTAGCAGAGCTCACCATGAATGCCTTCCTCATTCTCTTAGAATGGCAAAGGTGCCCACTGGAGAGGTGCCGGAACTGAGTTCCTGTGAGTTCCCTCTGAAAAGAAGCCCTGCTTCAAGCTGTTGCTAGGTGTGGAGACAGAGAAGATGGAAGAGAGCCAACCAAACCAGAGCTAACAATCATGTCTCCTTTTTTGTATCTAAAACTTTTAGGATTGGACAAGTGTGTCCACCCATCCTTTCTTATGATGTAGAAAGCAACCATATTTTACAAGGCTGCAAAAGGCAGAACTTGTGAGAAGCCTAACATGAGAACTTATTCTTCTAAGATGATGCCCACATTATCAAGCCATTTGAAGCTTGATTTTTAAATGAACACTCTTATGTGCATAACTTCCCCACTTGAAATAGGCAGGAATTGGAAAGTTCCCTAACATTTCAGATAGCTTATTGACTAAACATTAACCAGTCCAGATGAAGGGGTGAGGAGAGAGCCAGATCTTGTTGCCTGGGTGATAGACAAAGAAATGCATATACTACCCAATACAACTAGCTTTGCTGGCTCCCAAAATGGAGTTTTCTTCTTTTAAAATGGAGGCCAGTACTGCCAAGCTAAGCAGTGCAAGTCAGGTTCATTGCATCCCCTTTGGTTAGGTTTTGATCTGCTGCAAATGGAAATCCTAAAGGCACATAATCCCAATCAAGACTGCATTTGTACCCATACAGCAATGACCCTGGAATTTGGCAACAAAATTGGTCCCTCTTTTGAGCTCAAATTTAGAGGGAGAGGGTTGTGGGGGATGGATGTTTCTAAGCCTCACATCACAGATAACAGCTGGAAAAATTGGGGACAATGGCACTTGAGGGATAAAAACCCAAAGAGGATACTTTGAAAGATGGAATGTGCTCATAATTTATCAGGATTCTCTACTCTGCCCATTCCACCTGAAAAATTCTAGGCTCTGTCATCCATTGATCTCCATTATCCTGGTCTAAGCTCCATTGTGCTCCTAAACTTTTCAGTTCTTCTTCCAATTTCTGAAGTAATCCATATATTGGAATTACAATGTATTATGCAACTTTGTATTCTTTGTACTTGCACACTTATCCTGAGTTTGGGAGTCCTTGGTTCAGAATCTGAATATTTTTCTAGGCCCAGAATCCTTGATAATGACTTAGCCTAGAATAATCCCAATGAAACCAAAGCAGACTATTGCCTAAGCACCTGAATTGGAAAATGTAGTGTAAATAGTATTAAGGTTTTAATGATGTGTTCATTTGCATTTTCAACCCTTCCTTGTAGATGCCTTGCTTTGGTTTGTTGGTAGAATGTTCAGGGTACAAATGTGGTCACTGATTAAGACCAAATTACCTGTCATTAGGGATGGGAGAGAAATCTGATTCAGTTCGCATCTAAAGCCAAATTTATCAAAATGGCACTTTTCAAAACAATATGAGAACCAAAACACAGCCATCCTTCAAAATTCGCATTTTGTGATGCAGTTCTCCAACCAAAGCATGTTACAAAAATGTGTATATTAGGAGAAAATGTACCTAAAATCAATATATTAGTGGAAATAACAAACAGAAATGCATTATATTAGGAGAAAGGAATTACAAAAATGAGTAATTAGTGAAAACTAAATACAAAAATATGTCTATTAGAAGAAATTTGCACTAGGATGCTGAGTGGTTTTAATGAAGATTAAAAATAATGATAACAGCAAACTGGGGCAGAAAGAGGGAGAACTGAGTTTAAGATTGAAAAAATTAGAAACTGAGAAAACTAAAATACACAGATCCTTTCACCTCTACCTGTCATTAAACTATGTGAAACTATAGTTGTCATTCACACACTTCATGTTAATCTTCCAGAGGCTTCAGTGAAGCTCCAGTTGTACTCCAGTGAAAGCAATTCATGAACTGTAGTAACGTCTAGACAGACATACCTCTGTCCCTTAACCAAGAACAGTTTGACCCTAAGGAACAAAACTGATTCCTCTTACTGCAGAGCATGACATCTCACACAGAAACAACAGTGCTCCATACTCTTGACATTTTGGCTGCGTACATACCATATATTTAACAATAACAGTAATAGTAATAATAACAATAATAATTTTATTATTTATACCCTGTCCATTTGGCTGGGTTTCCCCAGCCACTCTGGGCAGCTTAAAGCACATTTAAAGTCCACAGCTTCTTCCCAAGAATTTTAGGAACTGCAGTTTGTTAAGGGTGCTGAGAATTGTAGCTCTGTGAGGGGTAAACTATGGTTTTCAGGGTTATTTGAGGAAGCCAC